GGCCTGAAATTCTCCGGGGAAGCCAAGATATCCTTCTTGCGCGACGAATATCGGCTGGTTGACGGAGTCCTTTGAAACGCCGCGGTAATCCATCGAATCCTGGAACAAAGTCCTCGCCCCCGCTCGTCAAAGATGGCCAGTAGGGTATTATGGGTCGGCCCGATAACAAGGCAGGTACAAAGCGACGTTTGTACCTTGGTTGCGGAGACAAGCTCGTCGAATCGGTTAATTTAGACGCGATCCTGTTCACGGAGAACAAAGAGCTGGTTAAACTGGCTGAAATGTTAATTGCAATATCTCGTCACCTTGGTACTCCACTGGCCGAACGATAATTACTTTAAAATTGTGTTGGACGTAAATATACTACGTAATATACCCGGTTCATCGAAATCCCCAGCGGAATAGAGACCAATAAGTAAAATAGCGTCCGTCGGAATAACCTGCTGTTTCCTCGAATCCCAAGTTCCAAGCTGTCCAAAACGACGCCAATAGTCGCGCGAAAAAAGGAGAAACGGATTCCTCGTTGGCTCGTGTTCTCCCCGTGGAGAATACAGCCGGCGAACAGACTCGTTGACAAAATACACGAATCAAGGGAGAACGGTTTCTATCCGAACGAAGCTGATTTCCAATCGATCGCAAACGTTGTTCGGCCGCGCCATTAGATTCTGTTTCTCAACGCCGGAAAGGGGATAATGACGGATGGAACCAACCATCCCTTTGTCAACTATCCCAGGAAATTATTTCTGGCCAGAAATCAGATTCCCTAGACACACGAGAAGCCCTGCGTCGGGGAAAATTTAAGGAGAATATCCATTCGGTGTCAGCCAATATTAGCCAAACGAAGTGGTTGCGTCTCGAGAAGGTGGAATAAACTTTAAAGAAGCAGAAAATCTAGGAAAACTGACGATCGATAGAATATCTCGTCCCCTGGAACATTACGAGAATGAAAAGTTTCGTCGTGGCTGACTTTGTACCAACAGAGAAGAAGAAATCGTAACGCGAATTTTCACGAGCCCTCGTGTGGATTCTCTGTGGAATGTTTTACGCGGAAGCCCAATAAACGCGGTGACGTCACGTGGACGGAAAAGGGCAAACGATTCACCTTTGATCACCGACCGTTTCGGGCTTCCGTAATTATGTACCCCTTTAATTACTATATTTGGCCGGCGCGTTTGATCCGAGCAATTTCTAGAATGGAATATATGTACTTCGACGACCGTTGCTTCGCCAAACTTGCCCGGAGTTTGCCGAACAACCGTGCCTGTTACAAAACTTTAGATTCAATTTTCCCTCGTCGAAACCCCACGAGCTCGTCCATTTGAATCTTCGATGCTGGAACTTTGTATTCGCCATGCCTCTAATAAAGTACAAGGTTCGAGCGGAAACGACGACACCTTCGCGTCGAGGGACAACGAGAATTAAAAGCGACGTTGCTCCTAAGCGATTACACGCGACGTGAAAGCGATGAATTTTTAAAAAGATTAAATTTCAGCTCCTCGTCCCTTAATTCCTATCAACGTCCAGGGAGTTCGTCGTTCGCAATTTTTCAGTAGCTTTCGAAACAAAACAAATCCAACGAAAGGGGTGTTATTTTCGCTCAGGGCGCCTTTGGTCCCTTTTCGACGATAATTGTCTCGTAAATAATCGAAAATCGGGGAATCTGTTATCGCGTATGATCGATTATCGAGTGTCCTGGGGAAGTCGATGGGACCCCATGGACCCAGCCCACCCTAAACGCGTCGTTGTCCCTTTCCGGGGGATACGATATAGCGGGTGATGCGAATGTCAGAGGCAGGAGGACCGAAACAGAGCGTGGAGGTACTTAGCCGGAGCAAAGTGTCGCGTGTTGCATCGAGTAACTTAAGCTCGCCTCGGTGCTCCCAACGTGTAACCCAAGAGTCGCTCTTTGGCTTCGGTTTCGCCCGACGAGAAACCGGAGAGGCTGCTGCTCTGCTCGGGAGTCGCGCTTTGCTCCGAACCCTTTTCTTTCACCTTGCTTCCTCCGTTCGTCCATTCCCTCTCCCGTTTCCTGGCTCTTCTTCCGTCTACTTACCTGTGTTGACACTTATCTGACCACTTTCGCGCGAGCTAGAGAATCCAAAACATCATCGGATACGTGCCGTATCACGAAACGTTCTCGTCACTTTTCCTTTAAAATACGAAACTTGGTTTTATCGCGTGTCAAGTTCGCTTGGTCGTAACTAAACTTTTTGTTAATCCTCGTTTCCAATATTTCAAACGCTACGTCACTTTTTCCTGTTCAAAGATTTTTAAATTATTCACTCCTTTCCAGTTTCATCCGTTTCTTCGTCGAGCAAACTTTTTCCGTCGATAAATTCCGCGAAGTCAAGACGTCTGCACGTGTTTCGTCGGAAAGAAAATCGTCTTCGTACGTGGCCAGTCGCCGTGGAGAACAGCAGGTAGATGTTCCGCGTCGCAACAGTTACGAAAAACAATATACGAGATGCAGACAACGGCGTTTCGGTGCGGTACAGCGGAAAACAACATTTGTTCCAGACGTTTCGCGTTTCCTAGTCTTCGACGTTGAAGAATCGCCTCTGGGAGACACTTTAACAGACTCGATATCTCATCGCCGAGTTCAACCCGCAACGGGTTAAATAAACAATGAAATTAAGCGCGGAGAAAATAATTTAATCTCCCGTTCGCAAAAGTTTGTGCACCCCGGTGGCACATATATTACAACGTCCGATTAAACGAGCGTCGGACGAAATTTTCTCAACTTTTCCCCGTCGCTGGTTGTTTCGTCCTCGGCGCGCTATCGCGTTCCGCTCCTTACTAGACAAATTAATTGTCTTGGCGTCCGGGGGAGAATGGCTTCCGCCAATATCCGGTTCTGCTTCTCGGAAAGAGGACGCCGCTTCCGGTCGATTTAATCTCCACCGTCGAGCCACGTGATTTCCAGAGTGCTGATAACTCGGTTAGGAAGTTCGACTAATAGAAAGTTTCTCGTTTCGGGGTTCTGTCGTTCCGTAAATGCGACCGAGCCAACGAACTTACATACTATGCCACGATTTATGGCGATTCTCGTTGTTCTTTCGCGCGATCGTGAGTCCAAGTTATCGTTTCTGCCTACGGTCGTTGAAAGACAGTAATTTAACGCGTAGAAAGTAACCCCCGGCCTATCCGATAACGCCAGACTGGCAACAATTATCCTCTTTCCCCGAGAGACTGCAGCGAATTAACATCTCGAGACTGGGAAACTCGTAAAGAAAGCAGAGCCGGAGCAAAGAAGAATTCCTCCCTGGGAGCTCGCGTTCCTTTGAGACCTCGACGTAGGTACCTACTCGAGATTCTGCTCCTTTGAGACGCGTTTCTCGAGGAGAGACCGGAGAACGCATCCCTTGTGCAGACCCGATGCAAGGCCGCTCGTTAATACGTAAAAATCTCTTTTACCCTTACGAGCCACCCGCTGGACCACGTGTCGAGAACCTCCAGTCGTCATGGCAACCCCCGTCCGATCTCGCAGACGACGAACCCGTCCTCGTCGACGAATCAGGAACGTAACTTCCGCGTCGTTGGCCCTTTGTTATTTTCGACCGGCCAATGCCAATTTGACGCCTGGCCGCGAATTGCATCTCGTTTCGTATGCCTACCCACATCGATCGGGGCCACATACTCCTAACAGCGACATAGTTTTGCACGAATCATTTAGGAGAAGACTCTCCAACGACATCTGCCTTTTTGTTCACCCTTTCGTAGCCACGATGTCGATGGCAGCCAACAAGAAAGCGTGCGACGCGATCGAACGAGGACGCGTTGCGTCGCGTCGCAGCTAATTGCGCCACCGTGCAGACGCGTCAGAACCCAGAGAATAATTGGCGCGGTTGCGCGTTCCATTTACCAGCTAGCTAAAGCCGACGTAGTTTGAAACGGTATTTATTTCGAGCAAACTTTGTCGCAATCTGTCGCTGAATATCGTATGGGCAGGAAGGGGGTGTTGACGTATGCAAAGTCGGTGGCTGCCACCCCCCTCCGGTACACGCTCTGTTCTCCACTCTATTGTCCTCTGCGTTTGACAGTTGAACGGCCTGTCTCGGACCGCGTCCGCTGCGTTTGCGTCTCGACGCCACTCTCAGGGCCGTGTCCGGTTGTTGACACACCGTTACCGTCGAGTTGCGACCGTTTTAGAACTTTGCGGAAACCTTGGACCCAGCCGCGAATACTCTTTAATTGAAATTCGTGGACGCGCGATATTCTTAAGCCGCGACGCTGGCTGATCGAAGCTTAATTTCTGAATACCCCGGAGGGGAATCGTTCGTCGAGTAATTAAAAAGCTCTCGACTTGGCTTCGCGGGGCATAAATCATCGTCAGAAAAACGGTGTTGACATCCGAGCGACGTTTTCATCCTTCTTCCTCTTGAACGGACTCTCGCGCATCAAGGGACGATTTGTTACGTCGCGACGTATCGATTTTCCTGGACGCGATATCCGCCCAACAGTCGGATGTCATTGACTAATTTTTCACGCCGCGGATTAATTGACTGCTCGAAGTTTTCCGCTCGTACGCGGCGCGACGGTTTCGCTTGTCGCGGAAACCCGTATCGATTTAATTAGACGGGAAACGAGAAACCCTATAGCAATGCTCGGAAATAACATCAACGAAACGATCGCCAACAGGATACACGGTCTCAATCTCCTTTCAGTTTCGAGCAAAGGCCTTTTTCTTTATTAATAAAGCATTGAAACGTCGTTTTCTTGAGACTCGTTCGTTCAGGCTGCCAAAGTCTGCGTTTCGAGTCCGAGGCTCGTTATTCGCTCCAGCGAAAATAATAACTTGATTGCGAATAACGATAAGAAGAAGGTAATTTTCTGTATCGCTGGCCAGTTGCGTCGTTCTTTTCCACCGCAATTCCGCAACCCAGATTTCAAACAGTCCTGTTACTCGATCGCGTACTCTTCGCTTCCCGACCTATCTTCCCATTATTCGAGGTTAATAAACGCGTTGCTGATCGATGCTGGTCTCCGTTTTCTCGTTGCAGGAGCGATGTCTTCCTGGAACCGTATCTGCAGCAGCACGGAACCGTTCAGGTTGTCAACTCGCCAAGCACGCCTCCGCCAAATCCGCTGCAACATCATCAGCTTACGCAGCTACATCATGTACAGGTGAAACCACAGATTCGATACGCGAATTTTTCGTTCGAACGGATCCCGTTACGGAAGCATCGAAAAATCGCGACTAGCAATTAAGAGATTCGCAATTAGCCGCAAGGGGTGTTCGGCACGCGTCGCACGTTCTCGTTTAATCCGTTTAACCCGAAACATCGTTGTGCGTCAGTCTGCATTTCAAATTAAATTACGCTCGAAACTCTGGCACGCGGCAAACCCCTTCGCGGATTCTCTTCAACCCCTCCTGTCGTTCCCTTTCGCCCCCGCAGGAGAAAAAGGAGTAGGATAAATTGAAAATATTATTCGTTAAGTACCCAAATACATACTCGAAGAATCAGAGAACCGCGACCGGAAACGATAAAGACAGTAACGCGCGACAGCGGTTGGTTAAAGCGTTAAGAATTAGCAAACGAGGAGCAATTTGACCAAAGAGGTATCCGAAACCACCTCTAGGTACGTTTTATCGCGTTAATCCTCGGCCATGTTCCTTTTTGTCGCCGTAAAACCCTTCGATGACCAATTTCAGCGTACAAGCGGACAAAGTCGCGACTCGCAGGTGCCCGGCGCCTACGAATATGGAAATCTCGGTCCCTTAAGCTGCAATTCTAGGGGTGTAAATCCTCTCCGGTCGTCATACAATACACTCTAATGCCGCATTATACCGTCGTGCAGGGAACCGGCGAAAGTCCATTCGCCGGTTATCTCAATTTGCAGCCAATACCCCGTCGTCGTTTATTTAGCCGTCGTTTAACTTCTCCTCCGACTTTTTCTCCCTGTTCTATAACGAACCCCTGTGTCCGTATTTTTTAATTATCTTCTTTGTCCGCGGAATCGGGGATTCCCGACTAAAATCGCGCGAGATCCGCTTCAATTTTTTTTCGAATCGCTTTATCTTTTATAATGAACGTGTGTTTTACAGAGCGAGGAGTCGCTATCCTCGGAAGGTTCGGCGACCTCGGGTGGATCTTCCAGCTCAACGGAAGATTCTGGCAGCGAGGTCGCCTGTGACATCACTCTGATCGAGAGGCTTATACGCTCCCATCCGATCTGGTTCCTTCCTGGCATCCAAAGGGCCGGTGCTTTCCACTTGTTGCAAGGCAAAGAGGAAGGGGTGAGTGCACTCGAACGAATCGATTAGACCTAAGAAAATTGCAAACCTCGCCGAGAGCCCGACCAGCAACTTTTCCACCGGAAGAACGCGCCTCGGGGAACACACAGGGGGGTAGAAGCGTATCGTTGCGAAAAATATCCCGCTGGCTTTTCTCTCGAGAGTGAAAGTTACGGAGGGAAACGCCACGTTTTTCTTTTTGTAAAGTTTCGACGCACGGGGACCGCTGTGCAGCGTTAAAGGAATTAGCCCCGCGCTTCGAATCCGTGTTTCCTGCCGGCTAATTTCACCCGGAAATTTTCCAGCCGCCTAAAACTTTACAACCATGGACGCCTCATTGTCTGGATGCCCCCGCGTTGCGCTATGGCCAAGGGCGAGAAACAATCGCGCCCCAGGTAATAAATAACGTCCGAAGAAGCTGTTCGACATGCCAGCGGAGGGAAAAACCAACCGTTCGATCGGCAATGACCGAACAATGGCCATGAAATATTGCGCGAGCAATTGTTTGGCCAAAGATTATCGCTGGAAAACTGGAAAACTGGAAACTCCACTTTATTTATTTATTCGTTATACGAGTCCAACCCGTTCGTATAGGAGAAGCAAGTAAAGCGAAGAGAGAACACTCGTATTGTCGGTTTCGCGTTTTTCGTTTTCGGATGGTACCTCTTGCAATTACGATCGCAATGCATTCCCACGGAACGAATAGCTAGCAGATGCGTTCTTTTTAACCGTGAAAAAGGCCGACTATGTAGTTTGCCGCGCGAATCGCGACCAACGTATGTACGTCCCATGCGAAGAAATACATACGTTTAAAGCGAGCCGAACCACCTGGCTCGAGGGCGGACTTTTACGAGGCAGGATGCTAACAATGCCACTTGTTATGCGTATTTTCAGCGGGATCGTGGTTTGGAACGCCGCCAGAAGTTTAGGCTGCCGTATTTCGCCGGGGCAACGTCTGTCGTTTGCATTTACTGCATATTAAGCCGGCGCGGTTTGCCAAATGGTCGATGCATCGAGAGATACCTTGGCTACGCTCGATCTGCCCACCAGGGACGATACCATCCTAATGGCCTAACTAGAACGCTAATTGTCCCCGCGCGTACCGTGCGTGCGTTCTGCGAAATGACTAGAAAATTGTCCCCCGAGCGTGACGACGTCGAGATCGGCGAAACGACGACGACGAGTCGAAGGATGGGCCTTGCGATCCTGCATAAAGTTTTCTAGCATTGTGTCGACTGTGTTACAGCGTTCGAATCGCTCGGTGGCTCTCAAGGTAGTTTGACTTTCGACGACGATTGCGACCGCGACAGACATTGACACGGTTTTCAGTCTGGGACCGGTCACCTCGACTCCTATTCTTCTCCGCATATTAGATAAGACCGTGCACGGTTCGCTTCGATTGTTCGACGCTGATGCATCGTGTGATCGGGGGAAGAGATAACTGGCCAAACAATGCTTGTCGTCGGGAAGTGGAAGCAGCACAGATGGAGAGTTTTGATCGGTTCTCGTGCGAAAAGTTTCTTTGTTTCCAACGGTGTCGTTCTCCGCGTCGTTTAGATTGAGGGAACGCCAAGTTCGTGCCACTCTATCTTCTGGGAGTCATCGTCGAATAATTCGGCCACTGAGAAAATTGCAAATATCGAAGCTCCAGTGTCGTTGAATTTGATGAAAAAATCCTTGAGTAACGTTTAGAAACGAGATCGAGACCAGCGAAGATTCTCGCGAAAGCGAGGTCAAGAGTCGCTTGAAATTGCATCAAGATGAGATCAAGACTTCTTCTCCGGAACGATATAATGCCTGCGCGAAAGTAGGATCGAACGAGGGATACTTGAAAACGAGATCAAGACTGGATAGAGAGACTTGTGAAAATTCAAGCACCGGGTCAAAACTGTTGGTCGATGATGATGCATCCAAGGAGTCTGAGAGTGTCGAGACCGGGTCAAGCGTTTGCTTAACGAAGAGTCGATCGATTGGAATCTCTGTAATTCATAATACAGTAAAATTCCAAGAGGAAGTGAAACATAAAATAAAATTACAGTAACATTTCTGGCCACACGTTAGATTTTCAGTAAAGAATTTTTTTCTCAAAAATGCGTAGGAATTCGAGGGTATGTCTATTCATCAAAAATGCTTGCAATTAGCCCCTGGAACCGAAAATAATTTTCTTAGAACGATTTAAAAATTTTTTTTTCACCGAAATATTTAGGCACCTCCTGTCGATTTTTCTTAAAAAAATGTAGTAATCAAATTTATTAATAAAAAATAAAATATATAATCGGAACTCTACTGTATTATGTATCTTTAAACGGTAAGACGCGTTAATAGAGGCACTCGAACGACGATGGAACTTGAGAAAAAAGAACGGTTTAGGCAATTTGATCGTTTTATCGTTTCGAATAAAAGGAAAAAGAGAAAGCCAGGATCTCTCTGGTCATGGTATTGAAGAGCGAGCAACGAGTAAAAAGTAACGAAAAATCCATAGAGCCTTGGACCGTGGTCGGGTAGCAAAGAGATGCCATTTTCACGGCAAACAGTTTTCTTTTTCCAGCGGAGGAATAAGGAAAATGAGGCGCCGTGAACGGTACAGAGATGAGGAGAGGCTGTAATCAGCAGAAGAACGACTGCGAACGAGCCGTGCCATTGTGGCAGCATTGTTTTCCCGGCGGTTCATTGTTTTCCAGGTTTGTTAATCGTCCTGCTCCGTTCATCCCTCTGTCGCATCAGAGGCTACGGGCGAATTGCACGGCCGAAAAACAATGCTGCTCGTAATTACTCCTCCATAGGCGAGACACCCCCTCTACCAGCGTTGAAACCAGTGATTGCGCGAAACCGCCCGTCGAGAGAATCGCGAGCCAAAACCCGATGTATAATAGCGGAATTTTTCCGCCTCTCTGTAACTCGAAATGGTAACTATCGGTATATAGGTATACAGAAGAAAAGTAATTAATTATAAGAACCGAGGAAACAAGTTATTTCGAGTCAGTTGGTTGATCTAGCGTTAAAGAAGCGGATACGAAACATAGAGAAAGAAGAGACGCGTTCCATTGTAACGATTAAAGCGAACTCGCTGGGACAGTCCAAAGGGTTTTGTCCCTTAAAAAGAAAGGAGATCCCGGTCGGGGGATGGAAGAAGAACGGAGCAGAGAGGGACGAGCCTCGCGGTCGCAAAACGGAGCATAAAGAGCCTCGGCCTTTTCCTGCCTCTCTTTCCTCCAGCTTTGTTTCCTCTGTCCTTGCAGCGAGGACACCGCACTTTCGAATGTCGGTCGCGGTAGAGATGCCGCTAATATCAGTCATCGAGGGACAGTCTATGAAATTATGCAACGTCTTTGGGCGCGCTGCTGGCCCGGTGTAAATTTTTAACGAGGATGTTTCTCTGAAATAACTTTGTTTCGCGTAAACACGTAGGGAACTCGTAGCTAGATAAGCTTCGTTGTCGATTGCAGAACTTCGTGGTCCGACAATCGAGTCAGAGCGACACGATGGCCCTCTCCGTGCGTCTGCCGCCAGGAAAGGGACCTTACATCGAGCATTACCTGATCCAAGCCAACAAGGGGAAGCTGAGCTTGGAAACCAGCGAGAACAGGTTCGACAACATCCCCTCGTTGATCGCCCACTATTCTCAGTGCTGGTGAGTGGCCTCTCTTCGCGTTCACCTTCTGCGTGCCCAGATACCATTGTCCGCTATACACCGTGCAAACTCAACTGGCCGTTCAAGGCCACCGCGACAACACCCTGATCCCCCTTCCCGCGAAACTAGAGATTCGCCCATTCTATCCGGGGATTTTAAAAATCTTTGGAAGCGACGCGGATCGGCTCTCGATCTATTAACCCTTCGCGTGCTCAAGATTAGTCCAGCCTCGAGCTTTCGCGTTGCATAATTTATCGAATTCTTAAAAGTGGAAGCGGAGCAAAGTTACGAACGAAACCTGCCGGGTGAAAGTCGCTCCGATCGTGCCTTGAGATTATTTAGACGGCTAATGGAGGTACTGGAAAGCCACATTCACGCTATTAAACCGGGTTTTCGCGATAATCGACGAGCCATTTTTTCCTTTTACACGGTTCGATTAACGATTCATGAGCGTTCTGGACACTTCGCCTCGTATTATTCCAGTACCGTGCGAGCCTTAATTCGCGTTGATTTGTTTGCTTTCCTTTGGCAAGCAGTGACGAATTACCAGTCCAATTGACACTGCCAAGGGCGATGCGCGAAGCCAAAAATAGGCAGCAGCTTTCCTCGCTGGCGCTTTTGGGTCAGGAATTCTGGCGATACCCGATGGCTAACCCGAAACCACCGGAAAGCAGCAGCAGCAACACTTCTAGTTTAAGCAGCTTTCGAGGCGGTAAGTTTAATCGAAGCTAAATCAAAACGAAATTAAAAGCTACTAATAAATTATATTGCAGGCAACAACAATAACAACACCGTTCACACGCCTACGACGGAAAGTATAGTGCTGAATCTCGCTCCGATATCGTCGCACGACACGCGTAAGTCGTTACTTTTTAGTAAAGCTAATTGTTCTCGAAACAAAGTATTTCTAATTACGAGCAACGATCGACAAATTCCCGATCTTAGGTTTGTTTACCGGTTGCAGGAAGCTCGACGTCCACGTTCGCGTCGTCGTTGCCCCGTCAGCCGCGGCCAACGCCGCCCAACACTCTCAATCTGACGACTTTCAACGAACCCCTAGACGCGAAGAGGGATAAAATGTCACCGAGCGAGAAGCTCTCGCAGAAGTTGATCTCGCCGAATCTGGTACAAAGCGTGCGTTGCCCGTCACCGATAGTTCACAACGTGGAGAGCAACGTGTTGAGCCCGGTTCAAGACACCAGGGTTACTTTCGAAACCAAAACCACCACCGCGGAGACCTCGAAGTCGACGATGGTCGAGCTGTGCAGGACCAGGTTCTCGTCCGCGTCGAATTTTCACCAGAACGTATCAGCGTTCAACAACCTGTCGTGCACGAATTCACCGGTGCTGCCGGAGATCAGGAACATCGTCGGGGATAATCAAACGGTCGGGCAGAACGTCAGGACTCCGCCGCCCCCGCCTCCGAGATGGGCCAAGCCGGGAATGGGACACGCGCAGAACAATTTCACGGTCACCACCACGGTTACGTTCAACGTTAACCAGACGAACGACGTCGGTAGTAGTTTACAGGTAACGAGATTAGGTGACTTTGGAGTCTTTCGTTTCGATCGATCCGTTTGTTTTCACGGTTGCAGAACACACCCTCCGACCCGAACACGTCTTTGCTGAGCCCTCAGAGCGCGACCTCGAACAAATCGCTCGCCTCGAGCTTCTCCGTCAAGTCACCGTTGTCGCCGACGACGCCCGTACTCTCCCCGATGTCGAAACTAGTCCCGAACGCGGGCGTCAAGACGCCGAACGTTCTCTCGCCGACGACGCCGTCGAGCACGAGCAAGTCGAAGCGAAGACGGGACCGTGAGGCCCGCAAGAACTCCCAACACTACCAAGAATCGGACATACTGGAGTCGTATTACCGTAGCTCGCCGGGCGACAAGATCTCGGACTACGAGGACATCTGGAACACCACCGACCAGTCGAATCAGTCCACCTGGTCGCCGAACGACAAGCTGGCGCGAAACGACGGTCCCCCGAATCCTCAGGAACGGCTGAGGAACTCCAACGATCGGCTGACGGTTCAAGAGAAACCGGTGAATCCCGCCGAGAGGAACTTGAACGATCGATTGGCAACGAACGAACAGCTGATCGTGAGGAACAACAGGATGATCGTGAGGAACGACAAGTCGATCGGGAACGAGAAACTTAGTTACAAGGAAACGGCCAGCCCGGAGTTTAGCAGCTTCAAGCCTGTGCAGGACGCGAGATCAGCCGACCAGGGAAACGGACCGCCGGAGGAGACGGGAATGGGAAGGAAACCCGACCTGTTGTCCCGAGTTTGTGAGTACCTATCGACGATGCCTCCGAGTAGAAGAGACTTTGGAATACTTTTATTTCGATTAGGATAGGTTTAGTACGTCGGAACCAATGACTTTTCTCTGCACAGGCAGCGCGAATTCGTTGAACAGTCCGAGCACGGTGACGCCTCCCAGGAACAAGCTCGTGTTGTTGACGAAATCGGAGAGCAACAGCCCTCTGACGCCGGAATCGAAACAGGGGAGTCCCTTTTACGCGGAACCAGCGGACGCCATCGCGCAAGGCGCGGTGGTGATACCTAGAAGACGGCCGAGGAACAACCCGGCGACGAACAAGTATCGACACAGCGAGCCAGGTTGGCTGCAGACGCCGGTAGGCGGAAACCCTAATCAGCTTCATCCGATCGATTGGGAGGAATCGGAGGAAACCGAGGACAAGACGCCTTTAATATCGTCCTCTGTAGACAACCTGGCCAAGCGACTCGGCACCAAAGAAGCGAAAAAGATTCCGCGCGCCAAGCCAGTGCAACCGCCAAAGATCAGAACGAAAGTGTTCAACGACACGTCATGGGCTGTGGATTCCAGCTGGGAGTTCATCGGTAAGCTCTTATCGTTGTTCTCCTTGCCGTTGTCGTTCCATTTTACACCGTCTTCCCGACGGAAATTCTGAATCTGACAACTCGAACAGCCAAATCAATTAGCCGTTAAGCTGTGAATCTTGTGTTCAGGAAACGAGGGAGACGATTGCGAGCCGGACTACGACTGTGATGCGGATTACGAGGGCGATAATATGGCCAGAAAGTTTCCGGACGAGGAGTGCGACAGGGACGTTGTGGGGAACACGTTAACGGTCCAGAGTATCATTCTTCAACGGTGAGCATCCGACCCGATTCTTCCTCCGGTCCGACGCCATGAGTTATTTAGATCAACGGTTAAAAAAAAAAATGTTTAACGAACGAATTTCCAGCCCTACGGAGATAAATAAATAACTCGGGGTGTTTTGTCGTGGGTCTGTCAGGTACCCAGAGCTGTTGAAACCACCGGACACGTCGGAGTCGCTGTACAGCGACAGAAACTCCTCGTACGATAACGTCGAGAAACGAAACGAGAAGGAGGACGCGGTTGATTCGAGAAAAGACCAAATGTATGACTCCTCCGAGTGGGAGACGCCGGTAGAGACGGACGAAAGCGACGCTGAGAGGATGAACAAGAACAAGAGCATCAAGGAACGACTGGACTCCCTCCTCTGTAAGTTTACTCTGCCCATAAATAGTAATCGATAGTGTGCTAGTATTGTTTTATTTTTCCAATCAATTCTTACGCGTGTCTGGAACGTTAAGTTTATTATCATTAACGCGGCTGGCAAAGGTAGACGAACATCGCGAATCGTAATACGTAATCCGCAAACGGCGAGGACGAAACTCTGACGACGGTTCGATTAACATATTGCACAACGACTGGTTTATCCGATAAAGTTCACGGCCGATAAGTAATGCAAATTCCATAGTAGAAGTCGATCGTGACAGGCCTTTGTGAAAAACAAGTTAACACCTTCTTTCTCGTGCGATCCCTTTATCGTAAACTTCTCGTCGAGAGCGATTTGCTGTTAATGAAACCATCGAAGGTGCATCGTAATTTGCTGAGATTGTTGTAGAAAACGTTTATTTTCTATTTCGATGACTAAAAGCATTAATCACGTGGCCTGTTAGGAGCGATACACCCCGAACGATCGTATAGAATTCGTTGATAGAGATAAGAAACGAGAACAGACGGTGATTAGAATAATACGGAGCGCGAGAGATCTGTAACGATGGATTAAATAATCGAGGAAATCGGAGCGCATAAACCGTGACCGTATTTGCTCGGGTAGTTGATCGTCGTACAAGTTCGATATTTCTCTGCGAACGAGGTCGATCGCGTTCGTCACGAATCCGTCGATCCTCTTTTTGTCCAAGATCGTCGGCGTATATTATCCATCTGGCGTATTGCGCGCAATTTCTTCTTTTCTTTCTTTCTTTCTTCCCGATCTCTTCCTATCTGACCTTCCCGATGCAGTCTTTGATACACGGTGCACGTGGCGATGCAGTTGCACGAGCAATCGCTCTCGACAGCAAACAATGTTAGGAGCGTAGATCATCGGTTGGTCGAGAGATTTCATTGACGATCGACAAAAGTTTGTCGTCGGACAAAGAGTCGTCGAAAAAATCATTCTTCCTCCCCTTCCACGCACCATTTTAAAATCGAATTCTCTACACGGTCGAACATTATCGTTCGATGTATTTAATAACAAGGGTTCGCATCCGTAAATAATGCATTGTTATTATCGCCGAAGCAGATTGGAATCTTAAACGCAACAGCTTTAATCTTAACACGAGCCTCGATACTAACGTTTCACAGGCTGTTCACGTGCACGGACAACGCATGCAGACGCGTATCGATACTCGGGAGATATCTAGCGCGATATACAACGGCTAATGTTTCGACAAATTGTTTCCACGTCTGGAAACAGGGCTTGTATACATATTCCGTGCGACGAACGACCGCTCGCTACCGATGAACTCTTTATCGAACGTGGGCAATCGTGCCTCTTATCGAGTCGTTTCCTTTTCAACCGAGGTAACGCAGCGACCGCGTATCTTTCGATAATACCGAAAACGGTTTTATTCTTTTTTTCTATTTAATCTAAAATTTCTCAAAAACGCTACACTCTAGATAACACCACGGGGACCAAACAAAGAAATTTGTTTTCCTAAGGATAGCCAACATAATTTCCTGATACCTGAGCAAAACTCCTGCCGTCTTTGTTCGATTTGCGTAAAATTCCAGTAATTGCTTGGCTAGTTTTACTTGCTCGAACCCCATTGAACGGGTATGACCTGGCCAGTGGAAAGGTATGGTAGAAAACCCGTTACCTTTCGTACCTTTGGCTAGTTACGGTGGCGCAGAATTGTATTGGAATCGCGGACAACCGCCCCCCTCTGCTGGACAGCGAACTGCCAGAATGCTGGTGCTCGTTGCCGGTTTCCCCGGCTCTACCTTTCTCGATGGCTTCAGCGTAGCGGCAGTCAGTCGTCGATCGTCGAACAGAGAGCATTTCAATGCTTCGAACCGCCGCGCGACGTGCCGTGTGTATATTCGAAACGTCGAGATCCGATGTTAAAAATGTAGTTAATAACATAGCGAACGAACAAGGCGTCGTTAGTCGGACTTTTCTACAAATCGGTGATACAAATACAAGTGGGTCTTGTATGGCCACGTGAATTTAATAAACGAAATTGTCAATCGTAAACTTTCCGACTAATTTTCAAAAATATCGCGAGCCATTAACGTCGTCGTTTCCAAGAGGCGAAAGTTAAACAAGAAGCGATCGACGCGTTATCGAACAAGTTCCGAGTTTTGTGAATGATCGAAGGAACTCCGGCCTCGAGCTGAAGATAATCGAGCGCACGCTTCCGTCGATTTAGGACCGGGAATGTCCTCTCCTCGGTATCGATCGTCCAAACCGAAGATATCTACCGAAAGATAGTTGCTGGACAATTTATCGAATGCGGAAGTCTCGAAGAGCATTAAGCTTTGTCCTTATTTCGCGGAACAGCTTCCTCGGTCTACTGTCGGAATTCTAATCGCATTTGTCAATAATCGAGAAGAATTCGCCTTCGAAGGACGCCCGTCTTTGTTCGACGTCGCGACGTCCGATCTCCCGCAAAAGAGTGTTTGCCCAGGAGAGACAGTGTCGATTAATGTCTCTTTCGCGTAAATATTACGCGAACCTCGTTAATCGACGATAGTCCTCGTCGAGGGGAACCATATATCTGCTCGTAAGATTCCACGCTCGCGAAGATAAACCGGTCGTCGGGTCTCGAAGATGTCCAGCGTCCTGGCCGGGTCAGCGTCGTCTCGATAATTTTATGCAAAATTCCTGCTATCGCAATGTTATGGCTGAAGATTGATTAAGGTCTTTCGAACGTCTATAGATAGCAGCGAAAGGCTAATCGATTAGTAAATCGCGTAAAGTTGTAGAAATCGCGAGCAAGATGATAAACTGCTCGGTGGATGTCCACATCGAGAGGAAGGGCCTCTCCGCGAAAACTAGGGGCATCTTCCGGAAGATAGGCAGGTGGTTCCGATGCATTTGTCGAAAACTGCAAAACGGCGTTGAAATCCTTAAATGTAAGCCTGGCGATCGCAAAAATGAATTTTTAACAGATCGTGATAAACATTTTGACGTACGACCACTGCAACCGAACATATCTTTGTATTACATTTCAGTCTCTACGTAGATCTCCGTAACGAAACGTTGTTTCTTGGTTCACAGCAACCCCGCGGTTGCAGGCGCTCAGAAACCGCGACAACAGCGGCACCGGATCCACGATAAGGTTGTACGCTCTTCAGCTAGCGGCGGATAAGACGACCACCTTCTCTCAGAACATCGACAACTTCATCCAGTGCACGAAAGAAGGGAAAGAAGGCAGTCCGCACGTCGTCATGAGGAACATGCGACAGTTCATGTCCGGCATGAAAAACTACCTGGTGAAGCACGGCGAGAGGGAATTCGAGAAAGAGGTGGAGAAAGAGAGGTTGAAGCTGAAGGCAAACGAGTTTCTAAACTTGGACGCCATCCTGGAGGGAGTGATGATGGGCCTAGTGGTGAGACCGCTCAGAGAACACGTATACAGACTGTTCGTGGAGCATTACGCGGCCACCGGGTCTCTGCAGACCCTCGCCGAGAGTATTCAGCACGCGCAGGGGAAGCAAGTTCAGGATCTTGGTGTACGAGTTAGTACTAACAATTAATACGAGCGAAGGTATTCGGATGAAACGCTCGAAAATGAAAATTCACCCGTACGTTTCCAGGCGAAGATCATTCCCCCGTCGGAGCCGAGTCTGGAGCGAATCCTGAAGTACATCGATCGTCTCCAGAAGGCCGATTCGCCCCTGGACAAGTTGGAAAATCTGCTCGCGGCCATTTCGGCGATCTTTAATTCCGTAAGTATCGTCGGAGGTTTTCTATCGCGTCGTTGGTCTCGAGGGCGATTAAGGACTCGTCAGGTTGAACGTTCAGGTGAAGCTCGCTAATTCTGGCCGCCACGTGACCCTGGGCGCGGACGATCTTCTTCCGCTTCTCGTTTGGGTGTTGGTCCGGGGTAAGGTCGTGGACGCGGAGGTGGAGGCTGAATATATGTGGGGATTGCTTCATCCTTCTCTTCTCACCGGCGAGGGAGGTTATTATCTGACGACGCTCTCCAGTGCTGTTCACGTTTTGAAAACGTTCAAGTCCAGCCAAGGAACGATGTCCACGTTGAATGTAAGTAGCGAGCCCCCGTTGCCTCTTACGTGCAGTGTAGAACAGAACAAAACACACTAAAAAATATGTGTGTCCATTTTGCTCTGTTCAGGGATCTGGAACACCCGATTGTTCGTCCGTACTACGAATCTTAGTACCAGATGAACTGCATGGATCTTTAAACACCAGGACACTACCTGTGAGACCCAATATGAACACCAGAGAAATCTGTCGTATTCTCGCGCATAAGATAAGGTGCACCAACCCTCAGGATTACGGGCTGTTCAAATTAGTCCAAGGAGAAGGTAACATTTCATACCGCTGTTATTAAATTATAGTAAAATTAGAAATTGACGGATTAAAACAATTATCGTCGCAGATTAAATGATAATTAGGTAGGAAAATAACTTTTTCTTTTACAGAAACCTTACTGGGCGACCATGAATGTCCGCAAGAGCTCTCTCATTGCCTTTTCGCTTATAAGCGAATCGATGCCAAGATAGCCTGGCCAAAAACCAGTTCTTAATAGGTCTTACGATAAGGGCCGCTTAGAGTAAACGATGTCGGTTTCGTACTGACGAAACTAACAAAGTTTAAAGCAATTTGTCTTACTGTTAGTTTCGTTGCTGCACCATTTTCCTTTTCTTCAAAATTCTGACACAATCTCGAGCACAAATTCCCCTAATTAACTCGTAGCACTTAAACACTGCCAGATTTAGAACAGTTTTCGAATATCGTGCAACGAAGCGTCAACGATAAACGACGAAAAAATAGTGAATTTCATCGGAAACAATCAGAGTACTTAAAAGCGACCAAAAGCTTTTCGAAAAAAAAACAAGTAAATAATATTTGTACGTACGGTTCGTCTTCGTTTTTATACCAAAATATTATAATCTAGAACGATATTATCACGCGTTCGGTCTTTGGAGTCTTTATGGACATTATCGTTTGATCGCTTTTTATTTCAATTATAATCAAGTATCCAAAAGATAAATTTCCGTATCGGACTTTGTTCCGTATTGAAGTAACAAAAACAAATGTTACTCGATGAAAAGATTTGCTCTGGTACAGAGCCAATGGATCGATTCTCGAGTTGAAATAGTAGAATAGAATCGGACCATTAATATTCAATCGGATTTAATTTACTTCCAAACAGGTGTTGGAATACTGAGTTAGCTAAATGGAGCATCAGTTTCTTAATGGACACCATGATCGTTTTAACAAATTTTCGACGAACGACCGTTTACTTTTCACTATCGGTTGAATGGTATGCAATAAAACGAGAAAAATAAATCGTATTCAGTATTCGATATTTTGTAAAGCTCTAACAATAATGAAACTACCGATCAAGGTGGGTGTCATTGGAGCAGAGTAGGGTTCGAATCGGGGGGCGCTATGACGAATAATTCTTTGAAAGATTTCGTAACGAAAGATTCTGCAATTTTGCTCATACGAATCATAGACACTCGTCGAGCTCGAAGCCCATTTTGCAAATAATCACTAAGCGTTTACTATAGGATGAAGCGCCTAGAACAGAATACCTAAACGTCTTCGTAAAACCTTTACCAAGCTATTCTTTCTTCCACTGAAACATTACTTTTATTTTCCTTGACTTCCATTCTTATTTCCATTTATCCTTTTGTCCATTAGTACCACAGGGGAATGAAAGAATAATTTCCTTGCTAACCCACGGCAAAACATCCTAAACAAAAGCATACGGGTGTTCTTTTATAGGCACTTCAAGCCTAAAATATAATGGAGTAAAACCATAAGAGACTTCCTGATACAAATTAATTAAACTTAGAGCACGAAAGACTAGTTTAGACTCTATTTTAAGTACTTTCTACGAGGCGCGGCGGATTACTGGATAAGCAATCTGTACTTTTAGGCGGACGTCGCATATTTATTGGAAGTTGTACACATATTTTATTATCTGTCGGACGTTTCCTTACGCGCGTGTCGCTTCTTCCCTTTCCGGATCTGCCAGGCTGATTTGGACACCGATTTTAAAGGCTGTGGATATAATCTCGGAAGAACACGAAACAATTAACGAACAGCTGTTCAATGTTTTGAACGAGGTAAGAGTAAATGGGAGAAAAATTGAGGGAAAGAGGTGCAAAATATTTTACTACTGAAACTCGTACAAATCAGCCTTGCACGTTATTGTCATGAACGATGTGTAGCCCTCGATACGTGTAATAATGATATTAGCGATTTATGAATGTACATTTCTTCTATCGTACCTAATTTATTACAAAGCGTTTTTAATACCTGTATATCGTAATTGCCCCTTCTGCATTAAACGTGCTTTCGATCCTTCTCTAATTGATTACGATTAACTGTAACGTTAATGCTTCTAATATGCTAGTCAAGCCGATACAAATCAGGAGTTTGTAAAAGTACCGTTTTTAAATGTAACATCGTGATAGTTTTATTTGTTGAAAGGTATATCATTAATTATCATTACTCTCACCATTTTTATTATTATTATTATTATTATTATTATTACTATTGTAACGTGTAACACTATGCTCAATAAAAATTTTTCTATAATTCGAAGAGATTGAAATGTAAGATAGGCACGTGGTCCGTGGATAATTCTGCACTAGAAATTCGAGCCCACCAAATTCTGTTAATTTTTCTAGGTTGAGCGTTGTTAATTAGTACTATGACGCACAAAGAACGAGGTGGATTTTTACTATGAAACAAGAACGATTGCATGTCCAAAAATAACTTAACAGTGCTATTCGTGCGTTCTATTTCCATTGTTTTTTTTCTTCCATAATTTATAAAAGCACGCCAATTGTACCGTCTGTCAATTAAGATGACAAACGATATATATTATCGATGAACAGGCTGCTAGTATTTATAGCAACGTTTCTAATGTTATAAATAACCGGCCAATCTTATCAGATTATAAACAACATGCTTTGCCAAATAAGATTAAAAATTTAATTTCCGTAAAATTAAATACTCATTGTAAATTCTGCGCATGTAATTTAATATCAAATCGATGATTGATAAACATTTATCGTATTTATGAAATTAATAAGAGAATTCGGGATGTATAGGTAATTGAACATTCGAAAACGAGAAATTTAAGTATTACATCGAAACGAAAATTACTTCCCACGCGAATTAGATGGATGAACAAGGATTACAAGTGGAAATATTTATTATAAATCAAAACTTACATGTTATTGAAATAACAGTACTTGCACCTGAGAACTACAATACCTCAAAAGTTTTATTGTTATATACTAAAGCAATAACTATATTACTTTATCGCATAACTTATTTCTCGATTAAAAACAAAGAAAAAAAACGAATTAAACACGTATACTTCCCATATAAATATTTGGTGTAATTTTATGTAGAAAATAATATCAATGTTTGATTACATGCAATATCCATTTAGACGGTTTGAAAATTTGTAGCTATTGGATCGTGGTAATTTGTTTGTTAACACGTTTATTGTGGACATGTATGCCGTGTATCGTACCTTTGTTCCGCGCCGAGACAATATCTACACCCGAAGTACACCTCTGCTAGCAAAAAAAGCATTACATCTGCCAGACACGAAAATGCACATTTGCCCTATATCGCCAATATGAAAATTAGTACGAAGCATATTTGATTCCAAATATTCAAGTCTACCACAATGAACGTGTTAAACACACCGCTTAATTCTACGAAACGTAATAAAGAGAAGATAGTGATCAGAATTCTGTATTGAGCATACGATACGAATGCAAGCGAAATAATAGCTTTAATTCTAGGCCTTCAAGCTCTCAGGTGCACAATATGCATGTATTGATAAATGCATGTTTCAGGGTAATGAGAGCACACATGAAAGTAAAATAAAAACATGTACCATACAATGAAAAAGACGATCAAGAATGTAGGACTTGAGTGGCCGAATCACTAACGAATAAGAAATCCTGCTGCGTGTTTAAACATTGCACAGAACTGAAAGTAAAACAACAGAACTGCGAGTGTAAATAACACTTGGCCGTGCAACATTCCCCGATGTTGTAATTCTGAATCTTTTGAACTAGACCAGTCCACTTAACCACTGTCAAAGCAACTCACATACGCGCTCGTGACTTCTTTGAAATAGCCAAGCAATTTTTTTCCACCATTTTAAAACCACTTCTGTAACTCTTTCACTGTGACGGTCTTTCTAAAAAGTACTATGTAAGTCTACTAAAATATTGACGTTAACTTGCACGATAATAAAACTATGACGTACTACTTTACAGCCATAAATTATACGTGTTAGTATTAATTGTTATAAACCAGCGAATAATACTGATGTATTATTCACCGATTTACAATACGTGATCGTTAATACTACTACTCGTATTATAATAATAATAAACTACTAACCCATCTGGAATAAATTGTGCTTAAAATGTCTTCCTTAGTGATCAACTGGTATAACAGGTATGATGCAATATACGATGCAATTCTGATCACATATTGTACTTTTTCGTTACTTTCTAGTAATCTATAATAATAGAGATAGGAAGAAACTAAACTTTAACAGCTAGAATGACTCTGTGCATGTAACAGAAATCATATAGCAAAAAGTAATTGCAAAGATCTTCCGCAATGAAAGAGTTAAGCGACATACATTGCACGAAAATCAATTTTTAAAAACAAACTGATAAAAATATTAAATGAAAATTTCTTAAATCTATCGCGAGGACTCGACTAATTCAAATGATCACCGTTCAGTCTTATCGTAGCTGCGCAACGATTAAACAATTTCAGACTTAATAAATATTTTGCATTCACAGTCGGTTACAATATTCCTTGGTTTTAAAGCAAGCGATGTATTCGAACGATAAATTTCGCAAGATGTTTGAAATCATTTAAATAATCACGTTAAGTACCCTTCTTAAACCAATGTCGCAAATTTTATAATACATATCTATCGTGTCTGCTTGAATCAAACACAGAAATAAATTAAATATTGCAAATATATAAATATATATATATATATATATAAGAACTTAAATTTATGGTTCTAAATAGAACATAAAAATCAACGCTGTTGGCAGATTTGGGTATTTCCATTGCTGCACGCGTTATCTTGCTTTAATCAAATTCCAGAGAATGTACAAGAATGAAAGGAAAATCGGTTCTCCTACCGCCTGTTACACTCGTTAGTCTCAAAAAGGATGATGAAATTACTCGCATAATTATAATGTGCATGGTGTGTAAAGAGTATATTTAATGCTAAGCGACATACAAACATTCCCCTATGATAAATGTAAATCGTTTCATAAGTGTCGATCCAAAAAGCTAGCTCATGGAATGATTACACGTTGTCGCATTTTCTAGATCATGTATGGGCAACGAAAAGGATATCTGGATATGTATACGCATATCGGCTCGTTCGATACGCGTGCACACATGCAGATGGCGTGTCTGAAACTGTTCGTCACTCTGTAAGTTGTGGATAATATTGAATACATCACGGTTTTTAAGACAGCAGCTTGCAGTTTTTCTCTTCTTCGGTTGTTTATTTCTATCTGTCGCGTGATAATCGTAGGTGTGGATCGCTTGGATTTTGATTCTGATAATACGTTCGAAGCAGGTAAACCAAATTCGCCTCGTAACCTTTTTTTTCTATTCCAAACTGTCGGTCGCTTCCGTAGTTAAACGAGCAACATGAGTACTTCGTTACGATGAATCAGATTAAAAGCAGTTGGAATGTGCTGTATACGTTAAACGATTCAGACCAAGAACGGACGTCGGTCAATGTTTCGTTAAGTAAACAATGCAGAGTCCTTGTATCATCCGAATTTATCGTTTCACGTATATTTCTTACATAGTATCCTTTATTGGGTGCGAACGAAAGTAATACTTGTCCTGAAACAAAAGAAGGTTTTCCAGTGAGACCTTTCAGGCAAAAAAAACTTTAACGATCTCGTGCCTTCGATGGTAGTTATTTTCTTTTTGGGGCTCGAACGATCTATACACGATTCAACGAAACGAGTCGGTGATGTGAATATTCGGTCATTTGTCTAACATGTCTCGTTGAACCGAATAGAGATATTTCAATTTTAAGATTGAAATTTACTTTATATTAAAGACACGAGATCTCTTAAGAATTCTGATAAACATTACATAAGCTGAAAAAACATGATGTAAATTTTCGGAATGCGTGACAAGCAGAAATATGATCAAATACCAATACAACGTGTACAATAATCAATTACTGCCCGCAAACACAAATCTGTATATGTACAAGGCACTGTCAAATATCCCATGCTTGATTATAAGAGAGCAGTAATTAATCACCCTAACAAGAAACGATAACTTGGATCGTATTTAATACAGCTCGAAAGAAAGGTCTGCGCTCCGATAATGTGTAAACAAAAGAAAATGGCGGGAAAGAGTAAAACAATGGCGGACATTGAGTGGTTGATAATTATATAAAAAAAAAAACTCCTCTGTACATTAAAACACTAAAAACGCCGGAAAATAATATAAAATATTCTACAAATATCTACGGATACGCACCTGCCACTGAAATTCGGTTATTTTTGTCCCGTTTGCTGTCCAGACGAATTTTGTACTCCGATGGCATCCTTATCTAAGTCCCGGCCCACAGAATACTCAAATCAAAGCGAAACAAAACGACAACGCAGATATCGAAAAAAAAAAAAAACGACTGGTAACAATGGTGGTTAAAAACACAAATGCGTGCGAGGAAAATTAATGATGCAAACCTGTTACACACATTCTCTGGTCTGTGCAAAAAGGAAACGTATTTTCTACACATAATTAAGTAATAACAAAAAATACATACACAAAGAATATTAACGTTCTGTACACGACACATCCCTAAAAACGTAAATCGCGTGGATAACGCTTAAAAGTTTAATAAGATGCTGGTAAAAATGTATTTGCGATTGAACTGTAACGGGCAACGTACCAAATGGCACGCTTTGGTTAACAGAAACGACGTTTCGATCAGTTGGTTTCTGGTCCTCTTCGGGTATGCAAAGTCTTGAAACAAAATTTTCACGTACAGTAAACAAAGAGAGATTATAAGTAAGAGAGTGATAATAAACGGGCTGAAAGAAGCGGAAAGCGTGTAAGATATTCCCCTTCGATTTATATTTAATTAAAAATCTTATTTAGGTTAGAAAATAATTTATTCGTTCGTTCATTAAAGTATCAAGGCACTACTTATATTAAATTATCCAGTTCATAGTTATCGATTGCGAATTCAGACATTATACCATGTATCGTATAACAAAACTAGTTTCTGTTCGTCTGAACAGAAGTTCCAAGTATCATCTATAGTGCTTAATGATGAATATGAGATATAAGGTGCCTCGAAGGATAAAAATACCCTTCGTTCGTATGCCTTTTTTAGATCTTTTTTTAAATAGATCGATGCTGTAACTTTGCTAGTTCATTTGTTGTACAAATGAGGAACGTTTAAAAAATATAACATATATGTATGTATAAATACATATAAATAACGCGAATTGCACAAGTTGCTTACAAATACATAATACTCTGAAGGAGAATCGTGAACATTACGTTAATTTCGAGACACCTCACATCGCGTTTAAAACAAGACACAATCAATGTAATCCTAAGCCAGATAAAACTTTCGTTTAAAAGTTTCAATTAAACATATTAATATATAAACGAGATAATGCATGTAAACTGATGATGCAAATCATTGCAAACTTGAAGAAGACGTGTGTGTGTGTGTGTGTGTGTATTAAAATGTGTGTACACGTGTGTATTAAAATCAGCATAGACTATAACGAAAGTATCATTTGAGACGTCCATTACAGAGAATAACGTATTTTCTTCGCTCATCGATCTGTAAATCGTCATAACGTTACTCTTCTCTGCACGTCGATCATTTTCAAATGTCATCTTTGCATATCTATACCGAATTATATAGTTAAGCAAAGCTGTTGCTAGAATCAACTACTTATAATTTATACGCGTAGCTTCACAGTACTTTGACTTAAAAAAATGAAAAATAGCTGAAACATCGAATGGTACGTTCGCTCGAACGATTGAAGATCCGATCATTTTATTTCTACGATTGAAAATATATTCAAAAATATGAAAATATATTCAATATGAAAATATAATTGTCTCTGGAAGCTTTGTTTATTCTAGTCACTTTCTATATGGCTGTGTATAATACAAGCGTAAAAAGTTTCAATAGTTATCGTAATTACAGATAAATAATGAAAAATGAAGAACAAATGCTCCATAGAAAGCACCTTCGTCGAATCCTGGTTAACAGTTTAAAATATACGAAATACAAATGTCGTCGGTTTCGATCAAAACAAAAATAAGAAATGAAAGAAAAACGAAATTCATCGAAGGGCGTTATTATCACAGCTTATGAGTGGAAGAGATTTATGAAGGCTACAGTACTTTTCTACGCAATACTTTCGCCAGAACGATCATAGAAATAGCAATGAACGTTATCGAAATACTTTGTAAATGTAATAAAAGAATGTGCAGTTACGATGTGCTTTCGTCGCATTGTCGGGGGGATACCTGGCTGCGGAAAACAGTATCAAATGCCCAAAATCGCCAAAAAAAAGGCCCGTTCTTACGTTCAACTATGCATTCTCCTATAAATGCTTGTATTCAGGAGCGTCAAATCGTTAAAACATTTCGCAAGATCGTAGTATTCCTCGGCATTTGGGTACACCGTTACGAATTTTTCTTTCAAACGAATGCCTAAACGTAATGCATATCGAACAGCGTATGTAAATATCACCTCTTGTCCTAAGAGTACAGACCTCGAGTGACATAATACCGAAAAGGATCTTTGTATGACCGGGCATAATCAAACGACAGGCAATACTACAGACGAAGGATAATCCTACGTGGAAGAGTGAATCCCAAAAGCTTGAAAGATCTTGTTTTTAAAACCGGGTTTGTTAGGACTAGCGTCGTGGTGGCCAGACTGTCCTTCATGTAGCGCCCTTTGTACCAGCGGCAGCGAGCCCTGTGATTGTGTGTTGTATCGCCAATTCGTCAGAACGGGCCGGGTAACGAAAAAAGAACAAAAAGAAAGAAGAAAAGGATAGTAGACGACTAATCGTGTGCTACAACATGCAGTGCGACTAATATTTATTCTTATATCTGACACAACTTACCTCCTCGTGTTGCTCGTATTCGCTGTTGGCTAGACTGGACCCTGAACCGCGTCTCGTGTAACCCTTATCATCCAGTAAAATCTGCGCGACCTTTCCTTGCTTCACAAACTCCAATGTCTGAGTCCAAAAGAAACAACAACTTGAGTAACAAATACTCGTTTAAGTCTAACGTTTAATTTAAACGAAACAGAGGTTATGGGTCTTGTTAATATTCAGTAAAATACGACTAATGGAAATTTCGTTATTCCAGATTGTATAGGGTTTAAAAATATTTTTACCGGTATAAATAAATTAACGATCCAATAATAACTGGATGAGTTCCGTGCACGCAATCAGAGGATTAAAATATACTTACATCCATTCGTGTCCTCAGGGCGCAATCCTCCAATGTTTCTGCCGCCTGATATTTTCCTTGTCGTCGATACAACGCACCAAGATTTTTCAGGGTAGTCGCGACTGTAGGACAATCTACCTTGGCAGCTTTGTGCCAGCCTCCATATTCTCCGTACGGGGCATTCTCTTTATTTCTATGCTTATTCTCTTCCCTTTCTTCCGCCACCTGACATTAAAGAATAGTTTCCCGTAATGCCAGATATGTACTCGAGCAATTTAGAACTACGCTATCCTTACTACGACTCTGGGAAGTATAAATGTAAACTATACCTGCCAAATTGGTTTATTATCGCCAGCAATAGCACCAAACTCTTTCTCGTGTACTCTGGTCAGTACTTGCTTATACAGAACCTCCGCATCCTTGTACTTTCCCTGTTTCAAAAAACACGACGCGAGGTTGTTCTTTGTTTTCGCGACATTGGGATCGTCCGGTCCAAGTTTCGCCTCGTAAATTTCGAGGGCCCTCTGATAATAGCATTCGACCTCCACGTATTTCGCCTGATTTTGACAGAGCAACGCGAGGTTGTTCAGCTGTTTCGCGACGTCCGGATGGTCGCGACCGAGAACCTTTTCGCGAATATGGAGCGCACGCTTGCACAACGGCTCGGCTTCTTTGTACTTGCCACGTTTCCCATACAAAACTGCTAAATTGTTCAACGTCGCGGCAACGGCGGGGTGGTTCTCGCCGAGCGTCTTCTCGCGAATAGCCAACGCGTCGTTCAACAGATTCGCTGCCTCCTTATATTTATTTTGATCTCTGTACACTAATGCAAGAATGTTCAACATCGTGGCGACGTCCGGATGATCGTGACCGGAGGTCTTTTCTAAATCTTCTAACGCCTGCTTGCAAAGAGGCACCGCCACCTCGTACCGACCTTGGCCCGCGTACTGGATAACCAAATTGTGCAGTGTACGTAAACGCGCTGGTATTTCGTATCCGGCGTTCACTTGCTGCGCAAATTGCGACGGCGGTGTCGGCGATATCGCTATATTAATCGTAATAAAATAACATTTCTACATGTTTGCGCAGATCTAAGGGAAACTTGGAAACACCACGTGACAACAAAAGTGAACATACACTTACTACTTCGGTCATCCACATCGTCGTCGGGGAACAGGTCGACCACAGGATTATTTTTAGGTCTGTCTTTGACGTTCTCATCATCGGCTGGACGGTCGGTATCGTACTGTCTCATACTCTCCATGAACTCGTATTGTCTTTTGTCTACTTCCAATTTGGCTACCTAATAGCATCAGAATCGTTTCAATGGCAATTCAATTTCTTTCCATAGATTCAACAGAAATTTTACACGGTCCAATTACTTACTGCTTGCTCGCTAGCTTGTAACTTCTGCTGTGTTCCAGCCAACTCGTCCCTCAACCAAGCATTTTCCTCGCACAACCTTTTCACTTGCGTTCTAAGCTTTTGTTTCTCAGCCTCGACCTTTTGCAAGTGATTCGCGAGAGCCATCATCACCTCGGCCTCCCCGAGGCCCAGTCCTATCATTTCGATGTTTTTTGACAACAAGTTGGCTTTGTCTAACGCGGCTGGTTCTTCCTGCCATTGTAAACCCTGCAGGAGTCCTTCGTGTTCGACACGAAGGGCCTCCAGCCCTTGGGCGACAGTCCTCGCACCGGCCACAATTTCTTCCTGTGTCATGGCCGTCATTCTACCAATGTTTTCTATTTTTTTGCTGCAAACAGAAAAATGAAAACTCTTAAAGAACCATAATTACTTCAGCTCTACATTCACCGTCGAAAAATATTTAACAGCGAGGTGCTTTACTAACGAGAACAATTTCGTCTTTACGGAAACGTACGATCTTCGATTTGTTCGTAATTCGATCGAAACACTTTTGTAAACGATTAGAATCGGTGGTAAAAAAAAAATTAATTCAAAATGAAACTTTTGTCCACGTTAGAACCGTGTTGGATCCTCGGAAATCAATGGTTTAATACATACACACGCGTGCGCGACTGCATAGCGCGTCTCTTATGCGACACACGTATCAAGTAATCTGTTTAATGGATAAAATTATTGAACAGCCCGTACACATGACGATTAAACGATCGTGAACACGTTCGAACAACCGCACAAAGTACCACAAATATCAATTATAGTTGGATTTGTTTCGACGAGAAACTTACCCCATGTTGGGACCGCGTTAAACCCAACGAAATCAATGGCTCGATACTTCAGCGCATGCGTAACCATTACGGTATGTCTTTTATGCGACAGAATGTATATAGGCACGAAGGGAGACAGCAAATTATCGAAAAAGGCAAATTTCCAACGCGAAATCGGTAAAACTTGCCTATTGGCGTACGTTCGCGCGATTACGGATAAGAATTACGAATGCTGTCTAGCGTGGCCATAATTTCAGGGTTTTGGACCTGCAAACCTTGACCTCGTGCAATCGTCCATCCCTCAACAGGCCTTGACCTCGCGATTTCAATTGAAATACTATCGTTTAACGAACAGCCTTGATCGACACTATTTCTGCTATATCTCAGTTCGAATCGAAAACCAAACATCGATATTATTACGAAATTTCGAACAGAATATTTCATCGTTAATTCATTCTTCAGGTGGGGGAAGCGTTGAAGAGGAAACAGGGAAAATCTCCGCCAGACGCATCGATTTTTCACGAAACTCTGCAGTCATGGTAAATCTACGATGAAAGTGTTTCGTAGCCGAGGTAATGTGTATTCTGATTTTTTAAAGTTTGAACCGTACAATATATATATATATATATGGGAAAAACAAATTGTATGAGATTTCTAATGAAAGTGCGCGGCAATTAGAGCTCGATATGTTTACGTAAAAATGCCCGGCCAGACGGTGTTAAAAAAGAAAGAAAAAAAATGGGAAAGAAACACAAAGAAACGATAACAATCAAAATGGATAGTACAGCGTGAATTCGTCAGTAGAGAAGAACTACTCACATTCTATAAGCATTCAGCATTCTTGACATATCTCTTCTACCCATCGGTAATGTTGGAGACTGTTGGACCTAGCTAATCCGTACAAAAAAAAGAGATACAACTTTCTACTATATCGATCTCTCTAGAATTTCCACGGGTAATGTCGCGGGCGTATTGTCACTTTTGGTAAATCGAACTTGTAAAAACATCATCTGTCTCGTGTTACGACCGTAAAAAAATTATAATTTGTATATATGTACACTAGAGTGGCCCGTAATATTGTTGTTAAAGGGGGAGGAGAGAGGACACCTCGCGGAATCGCGTTTAATTCTTTACTGAGGGGTTACGTTTGGCTTCGCACCCTCTGGACAAAATGGGGGAGACGAGGGTGGGAAAATGGCGCATGCGCCCCATGGATTTGCGGAAGTCTCCTCCGCCGCGCACGAAATGCGTGCACAGACGTATGGGCGATGTGTCCGGCAGGTACAACGGAATGAATGATGCGTTTCTAACGTAAGAAAGCATCGTACTACGCCTGTCGTTACAGCCATACGCAAATAAGCGTTAATCGGTCAGTAGAAATAACCCGAGGGTGCGTAAGGGTGCGATGAATGAAGCTTCTAAGAGGGCGACACGCGTGTATGACACTTGACAACACTTCGCAGGTCGAGGACACGGGCCCACATCCAGCTTCGCGATTCTTCTTTGAACCCTGACAAGAAACAATAGACTTTCTTCATAAGCTCGACAAAGTATACGCGTGACATATTTATTTTGCATACTTTAAACAAAATCTAACTTACATAAGAATGTTTTCAGGCTGATGGAAGATCAAGAACTATAAGGAAGAGAGGATGTCCTGTTTTTTGATTTGGTAAAAGCATCCTCTTTGCAATCAATGATTTCTTTCCCCTGTTTATCTCTTGGCTTTCTTCCATAAACAGGGATGAAGCGTGCTCTGCAGCGTTTCGGGCATAAAAGCAGATCGCATTAGAGCGAATACCAACGCAGACACACATTATTGATCGCAATACGAATTTCACGTGGCAGTTTTTAACCAATTAACTCGTCTGGATCCCGTGGCTTTTGTGGAATGTATTAAAGGCCCGTGGCGAAAAAAGACGTCGTTCGTAGATCGTTTTCGCAATCATTTTACTTCAAGGGGAATAGAGACTGGTAGTCGATGACTCACGGCATGACGACAGAACATTGGAAGTGCTACATATAACCATGTGCACTCGTTCGTAGAGAAATGCACTACATGCACGTAGCGAGGTATCTATGCACGGTGTAAAATTGCTTTCTCGAATTTAATTCCGATGAATTCACGGACCAAGGAGAATGCAGCAAAGATGGCCGGAATTAGATAAAATACAAAAACAAAACCAAACCGTACACTGCTAAAAACTGGAGGCACCCACCAACGTTGATTTCTCTTTCTTTTTTCTTTAATATTATACAAATAGCATACATGCATCCCAGTTGTACAATATTCGTTCTGATTGGACTCGCGTACTGCAGTCACTATACTGCAGCATCGAAAAAACGTATACAGGGTGTGTCGGCCACTCCTGGGAAAAATTTTAATGGGAGATTTTAGAAACCAAAGGATTCGTTAAAAAGTTATTAACAACTAAATTAAAAAATTTCAAATCGTTCTGGAAAAATTATTTTCGGTTACGAGGGTCAATTACAATCATTTTTGGTGGATACACATACTTTCGAAATCCTACCCACTTTCGAGAAAAAAAATCGGGTAGATGCAGAAACTTTTCGACAAAAAAGTTTTTCAAATCGTTTAAAAAAAATTATTTCCGGTTGTGGGGGTGAATTACAATCATTTTTGGTGAATAGACATACCCCTGAAATCTTACCCACTTTCTAGAAAAAAATTGGAGAAGGTGTAAAATTTTACGACGAAAAAAAAATTTTCAAATCCTTCTGGAAAAATTATTTCCAATTGCCGGGGGTCGATTATAATCATTTTTGGTGAATATACATACCCCCGAAATCCAGCGTATTTTCGAGAAAAAAATTCAATACGAGTAGAACTTTAAACGTTAATAACATTTTAACGAAGCCTCCATCAACAAATTGGTATTCTTGATTTTCGTCGTATTTTGGCCTCCAGAATACCCCATTAAAATTTTTCCCAGGGTTGGCTGAACACTCTGTATAAACAACATGCGAATTTTGAAAATACAGTAATGCCCAACCAATCGTGCGATCGACAAGCGTTAAATAAAAATCGAATAGCTGCTGAGACCGATCCTCCGTTACGAAACGATTGGTACATATTCATATCGGTATTATCAATAGATATCTGTGTACCGTCGCTCTGAAGTTCTAACAAATCGAACGCACGTGATACAATCTTTGTTCGCGGATACTTCATCTCATGCATTAACTTTCGGTGTTTTCCATTCACTTTCCTTGTACAACGATTCACGCGAGACTAGATCTCGCATAGTTCAAAGTAAAAATCGCTGTCTCGCCTATTTTGGTTAGCAACTATCCGTAAATTTCAAACGGTAGATCCTTTTTAAATAGAAACAAGTCAAAGACGCGCCAATTAAATGGAGTGAATTTTTCAGTTATAAATGGTGTGACAGCATGAGACAATCGAAGGTCTATATTTGTAAGACGTAACGGCTAACATGCTGATTAAGATTCGTATCGTGTGACAATCGTATATTCGTCTCAAGTTTCGTTTCTATATAATAAAATATGGTAACGGTTTATGGCACTGTGTAATCACTTGGAAACTTTGTCATGCGAATATGTTAACTATTCGAATCTTCGATAGTTCTATTTAGGTTAGGAATGGTCCTTTGTAGGAAAACAGAATGCATCGCATATGTACGGTCTTCGTTTCTTTCCGAACGTGTCTCAAGCACGCAATAAGAAACAAGAAACTAACTGATCTTACGTCAATTTAAACAAAGGACAAACGAAACGACGCATCACCATATTGTTAACCTAATTTGATGCGTGTCTTTTCTGAAAAAGTCTCGACTTATCCGACAGTTTATAATTAACGTTTGTTTATCTGTCTGGATTTATGTAACGATGCACACGAAAACCACAGTACCAGAAACGGTGACAAAGTGAAATCGTTTTTTGTGCACGGGCCTCGTTTCTATTTAGCAAATTGGTGAAAATTTTACGAGGCGCGTTCCTTTCTAAATGAACCAGAATAAGAGAATAACTTCAATCGCAATTATCGTCACGGTCGTTGATTTTCTGTCACGGTTCCGCATAATCTTACAGAAATTAATTAAAATGATTTACTTCCGGCTGTAACTGGCTATCGAAGGCGTGGCAATTTCAAGCTGAACAAACGATGCGTTTTTCCATTTATACGCGTTGGGGAAAAAAACAAGAGAGAAGTACATTTAAAAAGGCAACGATCGGTACTTACTTTTCCGAACGGTCCATGCAGGAATCCTCCTCTGTTCAGTGTATCATCCCACTTTGTTAAAGAATGGCTCGATCCTCGATGCGTTTCTCAAATACGAGCTTTCAGGTGAATCTTTTTTTTAAGGTGGACGAACAAATTCCGTTAATTCCAGTGTTCGATGTTCTATTATCTGTCTGACAACGACGTACAGCAGCACTATTAACGATAATCCCGAGAGACAAAAAAAAAATACGGATTTCCACTCACCGGACTTGAATTCACTGTGAAGCAATTTCCACAGTTCCAAAGAACGATTGCAAAAACGGTTCGTAGAAACGTAAGCGAAGTACGAAAATCCGTCCCCGCACGGTTGGTGACAGACTAAGATGGCGAGAACCGTGGAACTTAACGAGAGTACAACAACCACATATTTCACGGTTCAGAATCGAAGCAGAGAGTAACTACGCGTCGCTTCCGATTTGCACAATATTACGGATTCTCATGGAATCGAGTGCAGATGGAAAATATATTTCTCAAAGTAACTATGTCCAAAGAAATCTCCCGATTACAAGTGCAACCATCAGCCGATCGTAAAAACGCGACGGGAGCGACTCCGAACGATCATAGCGCCATTTACTAGAATTACCCATGCCTTTGGTAGTTTCTATGAAGCGACATTTTGTCTTCAAATCGGTTATTGAAAGATCTATGGCATCTTTCAATTATTGCGAAAGATGCGGATATTGTCATCTTTAATAATAAACCACGTACGTCCCTTGAAGAATATATACTCGCTTTATGCCGTGTAAGCAAAAAACTCCCCAGTTCTGGAACTAATCGAAATTCTGCTCCTGGTAGCCATCTTGATTTTGATCAAAACTGGTGACTTTCCCCTCCCATGGCATTAAGTGGATAGTGAAAATAAGAAACAAATTTTAAGGAAGAACAAACAAATAAATGTCGAAATTATTCGGGTCAGATCTATGGTATTTATTGAACAAATAGAGATTTTGGGCTTACAAACTCAGCCCATAAATCTAGGTACAAGTAATAGAAACTTTCTACATCAAATTTGGCAGATTTCAAATTTAACAAGGGCTAATTATTATAGGTACACAATTTGCAAGTACACGGCTAACTTCTGCGTTCGGACACAGCAACACGTATCGGTAATTTCTACTTTTCTTTGTGCATGGGCATAGTTTCACAAGTAAATTCTATCTTAGACCGCAAACATAGTGGAAGTAGGTTACCTGCTTTCCAGTAACCAGAGTCAACCTGTGCTAACTGGCGCTTGTCGGTGCAAGAATAATCCTACACCATTGTACCGATCGCGGACATTTAAATGGGCACTAGTCTACCTAATTCATTGTATATCTATATATACCAAGGCGACATATACGCCCAAGTTTGGCGTGGGATAGTTCGTATTGTCTACGCTAGATGGATTTCTCGACAAACTTGGGCCTTTTAGCACCAGAGGGCCTGAGGTTGTGGGGTCGAGACTTATGGTCTCGTCCGCACAAGAATATAGGGGAGCAGTTCCCGTTAAATGCGAACCCGCCGTAAGGCTGCGCGCGCAGCGCAGCAGGGCGAAAGCGCGTCCTCCCCAAAATGCAAGGACGCTCAAACCACTGCTTTGTAAGAACTGCACGAAGAAGCACCTCCAAAAGATCCAGAGTAAAAACTCCTGTTGTTAAACCAAGACTTGTACGCCTAGCGTGAATAAAGAATACTTGTTATTGTTGTTGTTGTTATATACACGCGTTCAGTCATTTCAAATATTAATATCCGTGGTCGTAGGGGTGGGCCTACGAACGCACGCGCATCATACGTGGAACGAACCACGTGCATCAAGTCAGCATAATCCCACAAGGTAGAAAATGAGCGCCATCTAGCGTTGAAAATAACGAACTATTCCACGAGAAACTTGTTCGTCGATACAGTCTTGATATATATAGATATACAGTGAAAATTAAATGTCCGCGTTCGGGATAAGGGGCAAAGTAAAATGCAGTCACTTATGTAGACACTACTGCAGTTATTATAATAGTAAAAAGCTTTACGCACTGTTTATTAATTAGATTGTCGAAAGAAACGTGCAAACTACAAATATGTCTTTCTTTGCAAGCCTAAGTTCTCTATTCGTTTAATAAATACAATGCAATATATTGCCTCATTATCTAAGAGTCAGTCGCATAACAATTGGGAGGATTCGAGGATGAAAGGAGATGGATTTCACGCATTGCATTTCCCTCCAGATGGTTAGAATTAATTTCTCCAGATGTATATTGCGGTAAACCATATTTATTTGAATAATTAATAATTGAATAGTAAATAGATACAATAGAGAACGCTTTTAGCAGGCCAACTTCCCAGTAACGATGGAGAACTATTAATATCGTGTTTGTGTTTTTCTTCTAAAAGAGACGCGTATCAAGGTACAGAAGCATTGATTATTGAAAAGATCATTCAGTAATCGTTACAAATAATGGTAATTCGCAATAACCTTATTTAGAAACAATTAAAAGGATTACCGTACAGATAAATATTGCTAAACTTGGTGAACAGTTAAAATTTGTCGTATATCGTCGTAATGGCATTGTAATCACTCCTTGGCCTAAAATAACAAAATGCTATATATAATGAGACATTGCATTGCGACTCTTTGTATCGTGTGAGAAATGATCGTTTATCATCATTTATCGGACATATTTTTTTCCCATCTACTTTTTTTGTTCACTTATTAAAGTCCGACTACTGAGCATCTTCCTCGTTTTTAAATGGCATCGATATCAAAATCATCTGAATCGTCCGAGTCATCGTTACCCACAGCAGGCTTCTGAACAGGCGACGATTGTTGTGGTTTCAGCGATTGCTTGGCTCTATCGTCGTATTCGATCTGCAAGGGGAACACAAGAAGACAAAGTTACATTTTACTGTTATGAAAACATTTAGATTGTTCTTTGAACGTACCTCCAAATCGTCATCTTCCTCTTCCGATTCGGAATCTTCTTCCTCTGCTTCTTTCAGCCAGGTAATGAACGGCGTGGCTTTATCATGAATTTCTTGAGACAAATTTTTCGATACGTATCTTTTGGTGACTTTGCTCGACCACTCGAATAGGGCTTTTTCTTCCAAAATATCCGCATCGTAAAACAGCTGCACAAGAAGAACCATTACATCACATAACAATAATGATCGTTAAAAAATTAAGGGAATAATCGTCTTACTTTTAAAATGCCAGGTACTTTCGGCATCAAAGCATCTTTATGAAGGACTATAACTTGTTCGATTCCTCTGATTAAATACTTTTGTGCCTTAATATCGTCGTGTGTGAAACGAAGCAGAAGTACGCGATACTTTTTGGTTTGAGCAGCAATATTTTGATCGAAGAGCAGTTCGGCCAAAACCAACGGCGCCTTCGTCTTGATGTCCAGACGTTCAGCTTCCGTTACCAGCTCTTTATGGTTGTCCAGTTGCCCAGCGTCGCGACGATATTTCACTAGCTTATAAAACATGTCCATTCTTTCTTTTTCAGTCTTATCGAGATCATCGTTGATGGTCATTCCCTTCGCCCCGTCCGTTAAATCTTGCAAACGAGCCCTGACTGCCTCCTCGGATACGTCCACTGCCCAATTAACATCGTCTGCATCCTCGTTTGCCAACTTCTCGGGAGCCTCGACCACGATATCGGTTGTGCTAGTATCGTTCTCGGGGGAACCAGATCGATCGCCATTAGCGGTAGCAGTGGTCGTGGTGGTGGTATCGCCATTCGCGCGCTTCGAACGTTTTCCGCGTTTTCCTTCCGTTAGAGAGCTACCTTGAACTGCTGGATTTAGGCTTGGTGGATTCTTCAGGATATAGGTGTTCAATTTATGATTACTTTCCAGTAATCCGTGATAACCGCAGGCTTTGCATCCCTGCGAGATAGTACCCTTTTTCGCGCTTACTATCAGCTCGGTTTCCGGATTGTCGCAGGCCGGGCATAGAACATATTTTCTAATGAATCCATCAAGAAGATCTTGTAATTTAGTGGCATCGTGCGAACCATTGACAATGAATCGTTCATCTTTGAAATTGAATTGGGTCTGTGCGCCGAGTTCACAGCCGAAGTACTTGGTCGGGTAAGTAGCGGGTCTTCCGATAGCTTTGGCGACGTCAACCATGTTCACGATCACGGTCTTGATGCCGTTACCCTTTCCCTCGACTTTGGCTTGAATTCGCGGCATTTTGTAGCGGTAAAACGCATCGCTAACGTTACGGTTAACGTTGACGCTCCCCATGGTGGCTGATGTTTCCGCCTCTTACCCCTCGCTAACTTAATGTCTTTACGAAATGACAGCAACTTCTGACGAGACGTTGTGAACGCGTTTACGGATCGCGCCGGGAACTGACGTTTCCAAGCCGTGCGCGCTTTTTTGGTTGTTCGCTTCGATACTTTCACCTATCGCCGTTTTGGTTCAGGTAGGTAATGTCTTCGTTCTCGTCCTTCTGGATCTACTTTTCACGTTTCCCAGCGGCAGTTTGATTGCTGTGCAGCGACGTTGCCAGGCAATGGCTACCCGATGGTAGCTCGTAACGTGTCGAGTCAGGGTGATTTTTGTTGTCTGCGGTGAGATTTGCCGCACTACCCCCTGACGCCAGTCACGTTTCTCTGAAAGGCTGTAGCTTTCGATGCCTATTACTGCAAATCAAACGTTAATCAGTTCGGTTCCCTTCTTCTACGACGTATCGAAACCGCTCTACACGTCGTCACCAACCTGGAAAATTTTGAGGTCCTGTGCTTAGGCAGGACCAGGTGGTTCAGAAATCGTTGGGTGGTATCTTGATGAAGATATTGCCTCGGTTTGGTGGGCAGAGGGGGGTAGTCTTCAATGATCATACACGCTGCCTGTCCGTTGCTTGTGCCCCTAAGAAAGCCTGGGTACCAGGTTGGAGTGGTTAACTCGCAGGTTGCACGCAACAAACGATTGTACCGTGCGAAGGAGATGATGTTGCCGTTTATAAGTCGCTTGGACAATGTCCTACTACCGCCGCCTTTGCTGTACACCGATCCTTTCCCTCTGGATGATATCCTGAATGTTTCTGTAACCACAACCACCATCAAACCTAACTACGGACGAATAAAACTCAATTGGCCAGCGAAGGTCACTAAGTTCCAGTAATATCCACTACTTTTACTTGATTGTGTGCTTTCAGATTTCTGTTGGCCTAACGCTGCGCCAGAGGAAGGGTTGCAGTTGATTCTGTTCCGACTCTAAGCAGCCAATGAATCAGTGCACACTTACGATAAACATTCGTAGGTGTTTCAACGAATACCGTTAATAACAATGTTCACACGAGTTCTCAAGTAACCGCGTATTTTTACAATACAAACCTATGTTCAGTGACCCAAATCATTTCAACTTAAAGAATTCGAGACGCTTCTTAGACATCAGGAGCCGTCGTCGGTTCAACACACCGCGATGAGAAGGGATACAAATTTTTCGTGCTTGCTTTTTTATCCATTCGCGTACGATATACTCAAACGATTCGAGAACTGCAGCCGCGGGTCTGCTAAAAACGTTTACAAGAATAGGACTACCATCGGGGATGATTTCTTTGTTACCAGAATCCTCGCGTGCGAACGTATATGTCGGTCATTTGTGCGTCGGTTGCCTGTTTCTCGTGGGTCGCTAACGATTCGGAAATTTTGTTCAGCGTTCGTGTTGCATTTATTCTCGGTAATCAACGATCATCTAGGCGGTTTTTCGGCGAAACCGACCATACGAGAATCATGATAGCGAAAGTCACACGCGGACGTGCCTGCTGGAGAAACGTTTTAAGGTATTGCCGCTTGGAACGAAAGAACGAAACAGATCCTCGCGAAACGACATTATCACGAAACAGAACAAACGAACAGCGGGACAGAAGACGGTAACGATTAGAGTGAGCAGCTCATAATCCATGGATTCTCATCGATCTGAACTTTGTCACCGATCGTGACAAACGTAACCGAGAATTCTCGAATGAATTTGTTAATAACATACCGAGTAACCCAACGAAAACAGAACGATACAAGGTGTGTACTTTATGAATCTTTCTGTTCAGTGCATTTATCTGTGATCAGATATGTTCTTATGCAATCGAAATTACTTATATCGATAATCCATCGTTGCAACTGTGTGTCGATACGTATCGAATAAGTATTACCATTACCTGAACAATTAGATATTCTCGATATAAAGATTAATATTATCCACACGTAACAAGAATTAACATTGCTGCGATCAAATTTCAGATACAATTATGGTTTTTGCGATAAATACGAGCATTACGTAAACTTATAAGCTACTCAATTTCAGGCTTATATTTTTCGTACATCCGAATTGGCCACGCGATTCTGCGATATTTTACTTAATCTCACACGATTAACATATTTCTCTTTCAGCGCAATAGCATCATTTTAAGTTTCTATTTTCTATTACATACTTCCATGTTTTGTATGCGTTTAATTTAGCAAGCTGTTCCAACAATATGCAGCGCGTTGTATCCATTTCAGCAACATTCTCCTCGTTTGTACGATTAAAATTCATGAAACGACTAAGTCGAAAAGATCATCGTTCCGACAATGTTTTTCTAAAACGACGACGATCGAAAGAACATCGAAAAATATTTTTCCAGGCATTATACCAATCTAGACGGGATTCCTTTGATTTGGACAACAGGTAAAACGCCTATTATACAGGGTGTTCGGCCACCCCTGGGAAAAAATTTAATGGGGGATTCTAGAGGCCAAAATAAGACAAAAATCAAGAATACCAATTTGTTGATGGAGGCTTCGTTAACAAGTTATTAACGTTCAAAGTTTCGCTCGTACTGAATTTTTTTCTCGAAAATGCGCAAGATTTCGGGGGTGTGTCTATTCATCAAAAAGGACTGTAATTGAACCCCGCAAACGAAAATAATTTTTTCACAACGATTTGTAATTTTTTAATTTTGTCGAATAATTTCATATCTTCTCTATTTTTTTCCTCGAAAGTGGGCAGGATTTCGTGGATATGTCTAATGACAAAAACTGATTGCAATTGACCCCAGCAACCGAAAATAATTTTTTCACAACGATTTGTAATTTTTTAATTTTGTCGAATAATTTCACACCTTCTCTATTTTTTTCCTCGAAAGTGGGCAGGATTTCGTGGGTATGTCTAATGACAAAAACTGATTGCAATTGACCCCAGCAACCGAAAATAATTTTTTCACAACGATTTGTAATTTTTTAATTTTGTCGAATAATTTCACACCTTCTCTATTTTTTTCCTCGAAAGTGGGCAGGATTTCGTGGGTATGTCTAATGACAAAAACTGATTGCAATTGACCCCAGCAACCGAAAATAATTTTTTCACAACGATTTGTAATTTTTTAATTTTGTCGAATAGTTTCATACCTTCTCTATTTTTTTCCTCGAAAGTGAGCAGGATTTCGTGGGTATGTCTAATGACAAAAATTGATTGTAATTGACCCCCGCAAGCAAAAATAATTTTTTCACAACGATTTGTAATTTTTTAATTTTGTCGAATAATTTCATATCTTCTCTATTTTTTTCCTCGAAAGTGGGCAGGATTTCGTGGATATGTCTAATGACAAAAACTGATTGCAATTGACCCCAGCAACCGAAAATAATTTTTTCACAACGATTTGTAATTTTTTAATTTTGTCGAATAGTTTCATACCTTCTCTATTTTTTTCCTCGAAAGTGAGCAGGATTTCGTGGGTATGTCTAATGACAAAAATTGATTGTAATTGACCCCCGCAAGCAAAAATAATTTTTTCACAACGATTTGTAATTTTTTAATTTTGTCGAATAATTTCATATCTTCTCTATTTTTTTCCTCGAAAGTGGGCAGGATTTCGTGGATATGTCTAATGACAAAAACTGATTGCAATTGACCCCAGCAACCGAAAATAATTTTTTCACAACGATTTGTAATTTTTTAATTTTGTCGAATAGTTTCATACCTTCTCTATTTTTTTCCTCGAAAGTGAGCAGGATTTCGTGGGTATGTCTAATGACAAAAACTGATTGCAATTGACCCCAGCAACCGAAAATAATTTTTTCACAACGATTTGTAATTTTTTAATTTTGTCGAATAATTTCACACCTTCTCTATTTTTTTCCTCGAAAGTGGGCAGGATTTCGTGGGTATGTCTAATGACAAAAACTGATTGCAATTGACCCCAGCAACCGAAAATAATTTTTTCACAACGATTTGTAATTTTTTAATTTTGTCGAATAGTTTCATACCTTCTCTATTTTTTTCCTCGAAAGTGGGCAGGATTTCGTGGATATGTCTAATGACAAAAACTGATTGCAATTGACCCCAGCAACCGAAAATAATTTTTTCACAACGATTTGTAATTTTTTAATTTTGTCGAATAGTTTCATACCTTCTCTATTTTTTTCCTCGAAAGTGGGCAGGATTTCGTGGATATGTCTAATGACAAAAACTGATTGCAATTGACCCCAGCAACCGAAAATAATTTTTTCACAACGATTTGTAATTTTTTAATTTTGTCGAATAGTTTCATACCTTCTCTATTTTTTTCCTCGAAAGTGAGCAGGATTTCGTGGGTATGTCTAATGACAAAAATTGATTGTAATTGACCCCCGCAAGCGAAAATAATTTTTTCAGAACGATTTGAAAAATTCTTTTTCGCCGAAAAATTTCAGCACCTACTCGATTTTTTCTAGAAAGTGGGCAGGATTTCGTGGGCATGTCTAATGTTAAAAACTGATTGTAATTGACCCCCGCAACCGAAAATAATTTTTCCAGAACGATTAGAAATTTTTGAATTTAATTGTTAATAACTTTTTAACGAAGCCTCCATCAACAAATTGGTATTCTTGATTTTCGTCTTATTTTGGCCTCTAGAATACCCCATTAAAATTTTGTCCCAGGGGTGGCCGAACACCCTGTATAAAAGAACAGCGTAATCCGCTTTTGGGTGGCACGGTAACGCAGGCGATGATTGTGTTGTAATCATTAGAGGTAATTAAATCACGTAAGTCGTTCCGAACAGATAAGAAGAAATATCAATCGTTCGTATGAAGAATGTGTCTCATATCGTTATAAAAATTGTCATACTTTTTCAAACGTTATATTGTAGAATTGTATTATAATTACAGAAGTAATGTTAGGAAGAAAGGAGTGCTATTTCCCGTTGGAAGAAGTCTCTTTTCAACGTTATTAACGCCCCTTAAGATATTGACGTTCTTACATGTAAGTAAGTACAGAGTTCCGATGGCGGACACGCGAAGTAAAATAGCCTAGAATTCTAGCCACGGTGGTTTCATAGCGATAGCCGCTTATCAATGCAGCGACGAGCGCTAAAGGTGCTCCCCATCGTATCGATCCATTTCTAATGGAAACAGAATTTCATATTGTGAACCCGAGCAGCTAAAATTCCGCGCGACGCGTTTCAAACGTAGACGTTGTACGTATTTTTATAATCAAGCTTCCCATCCATTCTACGAGCCGGAATATTTTCTTGTTTACGTAAGTTCCGCATCGCGTAGATTATCGACGACCTGCGGAGAATTACGTACAAAACGATCGATATCTTCATTATCATTAAACAGTAGTTACCGTATATACAACCCGAGTGACGCGAACGAAGAATCGCCTATAAAACTTGCAACGTAGCGAAGTTCCTATATACCATCGAATTGTTAGTTATTTATTTGTCGATTGCACGGTGCAATGACCGACGACGGCCATACGTTTATCACGGTCAAACAATCGTGCAGTTTTTCAAGCTCCCTGCACAGGTACACGAACCCACGTTCACCCACTTCTTTCGTTTCGACGATTGTTCGTTCCTCTAAGCTTACCAAACGGTGATCAATCGAAATACTTTCTCATAGATCTTGGTCCCAGCTAATTTCGATTTTTTTCCAATACAGGGATCAGCGTGAAAACGGAAGGACTGTACGTGTATTTCCAATACGTCGTAAGTGTTTCGAATACGAAAAAAAAGGAGACCAGAACGCCGAGAGCACGGTAAATCCCCACCAAAGATTCAAGCAGCGTGACAAACGCAGAGCACTGGATCACGAAATTCGAGAGGCTCGTATAATCGCATCGTTCGTCGGCCAACTTCGCTCGCGTTAAACGTGTGAAACCACTCCCACCACAACGTGATTAGACCAAATCCGTGGTCGCACGAACACACTGTCCGCGATACACATTCAGCTGAAGCATTTGTTGGCAGCGGTCTCCGGTCGTCGCCGCATGGAAACGCATTTTGATCAAAAAGAAAGAGAAAAAAAAAGGAGATAGGTAGTCGATGCGTACGGTCACGTTGCACCGTGTCACACAATGTTTAAAGAGGCCACGTCGATGCGTGGTAAGCTACTCGTAAAAAAACGAAACCAAACCAACGGAGAAGGAGACATCTGCGAAGAATCGAGGCCCCCGGGTTCCACGGAATCGTGACGGACGGGCAGGAACTTGGCAGCACGACAAGAACATCGTAAGAACAGTGACCGTTGGGTAACAATCGACGATAAATCGCGATCACCTTTCGTAAACTTTAGTCCCTTGGTCTGTGATCGAAGAACTGGGGGGAAGTCGCTATTCGTCGCCTCCTTCACAAGCACCGATTGCAAAACCCTCTTGGTGGCCGTTACGAAAAGATGCAAAGCTTTCGAGAGTATCTCCACTGACGGGTAACGAAAAGTATTTCCCCCTAAAGATAGCCTAAAGGCCAAGAGTTGCCCTATCGAGCGACGAGGAGGTGCAGCGCCGACGAGGATCTTTACCTGCTCGGTACAGACGCATAAGTCGTGATTTGCGATCGTGGCTGCTGGTGGTGGTGGTACTCTTGGTGCCCCTACGTCTTCCTCGAGACTCTCGCCAGATAGGGAGAGTTAAATCGAGGAAGAGAATCGCCGGTTCCGCTGAATAATTCGCCCGAAAAGTGTCGGTCTCGCGGCGCTTGTTACGTGGACGCACACGTTACGACGAATCGTGGACGATGTCTGTGGACGTTTGCGTGCTTTCTGCCTCCGTAACTGGAGTCGTCGTAGTCGTAGTCGTCGTCGTCGTCGTCGTGGTCGTTGTCGTCGTCGTGGGTCGTCGTCGTTGTCGACGTCGTGCGTGTTCGTGGCTCTCTCGGGTCCCGGATCGGCCTACTCCGTGCCTCCGATGGTCGCGCACGCGTTCTCCGCGAGGAGATACGCCGCATATTGATCGGAACGTGGCCCGATCCGGACGTAACGAACGACGCGGAATTTCTAGTACGGCGGCGTGCGCCGGACTCGAGGCAAGGTCAGATTTCAGCGATCTCTCGCCCCACGAGGACATGTGTGAGGCGTGCATCGGTGCACTGGATAAGATACATTAGTTTCCGTGGTAAGCAGAGGATGACCTACTCGACTCGAAGTAAATCTTAATATAATGGGCTATAGACCGGTACGAGTAAGGTCAGGCAGGAGTGATCAGTGATCTTTAGCCACGAGGACAGGGTATACCGTGTATTGTCTCGTGCATACGACGAGATACGTTATTTTTACCCACACTGGACAGAGGACCACCCCATTTAGTAACGAGTTTTATCATAATAGGATGTAATAGACTCTGACCAAGGACCTCTGACCTCTAGGATCACCCTAAGTATCGTAGTAACCAGATGTCTAAGTAAATGAAACGTCAGGAAATCCGAACGTCGTGTTGCCTCCATTTGTTACCGAAGCAGGGGCAGGTAACAGTTCCCGACATTGGTTTGCATAAGGTAACGAAGTCGCGTGCGTTAGAGCGTTCGCCTTATCCTTTAAGGCGTCCATTACAGAGTCAAGTTTAACGACAATCGCGCAATGAAAGTATCGCACGCGCAACGGATCACGGTTATGCATTTTAGAACGGTTATTATCTAGCGGCCGCGCGACTCGAGTACATGTATTATGCATTCTCTGGGCATAATCAATCTTTTATGTCACCCAGACACGTTTTGAGCAAGCTGGATCGTTCGCGATGCGTCGCGAAAAGGACATACTATGCCGAGACAGATTCGTCGCAATAATGCCGCATGCGACTCCTTATGGAAATACCTCGTTCGCCCTGCACACGAGGGTGAAAAAAATTACATTATTGCGGGTGCTAATGGTACACAATTACGGCACACTAGAGCGCTCAGGAATTCGATAAACGTGATTCATTGTAATTTCACAAACTGGTTAAATTACATTTTTACTCTGAAACTACTGTATGTGTCTCTGGGTCTGGCCATGGTCCACTCGAGCATTGTAGCACAGCGAGTCAATGTCCGAGAATACCAGGGAAATAAGCAAGTAGACACGATGGTTGACGGCAAGATTTCCCAACGTTCATTCTGGTTCTTCCACCTACTTGGAATCTGATTAACCCAATTCATTTTATAACTTTAAGCATCTGTATCCCAGAAACGAGGAAAATGTTTTTGTAACTCTCAAAGTGACATTACCAACCGGTGTCTCCACCGCTAGTTGAGATTCGAGCATTTGCTATCATTTATTGTTTCGAGTCGTCACAGTGTTATCTTCGATGCGTCACAATCATTAAGTGGTTGCGCAAAGAAAACTGAAACCACTATCGATCGATTAGGAAATCGTAAATGAACGTTCAAAATCGTTAAGAGTACGTTAGCGTTTCTGTCGAGGACCGTTCAGAGATTTTATCCGGGAACAACGCGGTTCAAAGGAAACGATTTCCGGTCTAAGAACACCGTTTGAGAATCACTGGAGCTGATTAAGAGGTATTATTTTGCATTGCTATCGTGCAGCAATGCATACTTAAGGGTCAAAGCAGGCCATCTTAAGTCGCAGATAAATGAAAAAAATAAGGCGAGCGTATACGAAGGGAAGAGGTCCGATTACACGAGACTGTTCGAAGAATCGGTTTCGAAGCGAGATATCGCTTCCTTCTGACGATTAAAGACCCCATTATTCACTTTACGAATTCTTATTACCATCAGGATAATTTATGTATTTTATTTAAAAGAGTCAGAGACTGTTTATTAAACAATCGAAACTCGAAACAGATTAACGAATCAAAGTATAAATATTGTATGACCATAAGAAACTCATATATCGAATTAAGAGTTAACCTTTTGTGATCTTACGCCGAATCAAGCTCCGCTGGACCCAATATAATTTCGAAATACACGTATGTAAAGATATTTCAAGATATCGACTGTTCAAGCATACTTGAATAAGTATGCTTTTTATAATTAATCTTATATAATGTTTCTAAAATGAAGGGGTAAATAATTTAAGGAAAAAAACATCTGAATACTGTGCTGCAAACAGTGCGATAAGATAATAGAAATGTTTAATTAAACAATATTTGCAAGTGTGCTTTTATAATGTAGTATGTACAGATACTGGAAGAATTAATACAAGGGTGCGAAGTACAGTGTTCCGTTTGAATCAATACGCAACAACAATTTGTGGGCAAGCACAGAAAACGTATAATCGAGAATAGATACACAGCGATACGAATTCGTACGTTTTATTGGCTGTAAAAATTTTTAAACGTATGGTTCGAACATGCCGGAAAATTTCAAACAAACGAGTTTCCTTTGCGGATCAGTGAATTCGTCGTAATTGCCGATGGCGGATGACGTTGCACATTACACTCAACGTAGAAATAAATATCAATATCGTATGTAAAAAAATTTAGAAAGGAAACGAATTCAAGACCATTTCGTAACTTCGTTTCATTTCTTTTTCCAAAACCGCCCGAAAAAGGAAACGTGATTCATCGCCACACCGCAAACGCGTTATCGCATACTCGAGGAACAATCGGTCGTTTCGGTAGATACGTTTAATAATTTGTAGCGTAATATCGATCTATCGTTAGTATAAGAGAAATGGAAAAAATGTAGAAAGCGAAAAAGAGATAAACGGAGGGAAGGCAATAACGTGCAAGAGAAGAATGCAAAAAGGACAGAGAAACGGTAATTTCCGTAGAAACGAGAGCCACTCCACGGATCGCACACGTTCTCGTGTCCAAAATGGCTGGTCGCTAAAATTAGCGTCGGAAAGCAACTGAAATGATATTGGATAGGACGTCGCCGTCGGTATCATGCCATGGTTCCTACTCACCTTGACGTCGAAGAAAAGTCATATAAAATGGTATCGCCCTGCTGGACGGCCGCCTTCTAGCGTGAAAATTGAACGGGTGTTCGTGGGTGTATCGAGACAGATGGATCTCCCTATCGGGTGTACCCCAGTGTCTCGTTTTACGTCTTTCTACGATATCGCTTATGGAAGTTGCTCGTGAATACGGTTAGCCGCGTCGCCGTAACACCGTGTCGATGCCTTCTAGTTTCTCAGTACTTTTCCTACTCGATGACAAGTACTTCTGTCGTCGAATTGGTATCCGCTCGAGATTTCTGCGGCTTTACGTACTATGCGTAACTCTTTTTTTTGCTCACGACGTGCACTCGATACGTTCCGGCTTCTGAGACGTCTACTGCCTGAATACAACTGCATATGTTCCACGAAACCAGGGCCGTAACGTGCTGCAATACCCTACAATGATAATGGCGCCCCTGCTTTCGCCAAGTACCACGTATTCTTTCACGAGTCATGTGATCCTCCATCTTATTGGCAGTGATGTAATAGAAATTTTGTGATTTTATTTCATATGGTTCTTTAACAACAACCGGGATAAGGATTTTTTATTCGGATGTAACACTACCGTGCTAGTATAATCTTGGAAAAATTTCTTATATGATAATAAGACGTTTAAAGTTTTTTCTAACTGCACGACGATCTTGCTTAATCGTAGTCTATGCTTGAACGATGAGATAACGCGAAGTATAATTTAAAATAATTGTATAAAGTGAAGGAAAGGAAAAGTTTGTGAATTTTTTTCAACAGTTGTTAAATATCTTTCATAAACGAGATAATAGAAAACAACGACAAAATTACCAGAATATTCACCGTTAATATCGTTTACGCCAGTAATAATATGTAATACGATTACTCGGACATTTTATTCCGCCATGATTTCGGTACTTTTGCATATTTTCAGAAGATTGCAGCTAAGATCAAGCATAAAACTTTTTGCTGATAATTTATCAAAGATTTTCTTTGTGTTAGCAATTTAGAAATAAGTATACATTTTTTTCAAGTATTCTGATACAATATCAAACGTTGTTAAGATACTCGTAAGTGAATTGCAATAATTGTGCAATTTGTAACATAACCTCTGTATTAGTGTAAAACGTAGCTTTGCACGTGATGGACATTGAAGCTCTCTGCGTTTTCTATTAAATCGAAGTACTAGTGATCGTTATGCTATTTGTATTTATTTACTATTACAATCTATAAATCACGATACATGTTATTGAAACATAGTTTATATTAAACATCGAGTGTTTTATTAGTTAGAGAATGCAACTTTGCATCGTAGTATATTAAAATATTGCTTAAAAATGACCTCGCCGTTTACGTGTATCACGTGTCGTGTGGCATTTCGAGATTTAGAAGTGCAAAGACAACATTACAAATCAGACTGGCACAGATACAATTTAAAAAGGAAAGTAGCCGAATTACCTCCTGTTACTGTAGAAGAGTTTCAGAAGAGAGTAATTGCACAAAGGAATAAAGATGATAAACAAAGGGAAGAGGAAACAATGAATTGCAAAAATTGCAGAAAAAGTTTCAATACAAAAAATCAGTATGAAAATCATTTACTATCGAAAAAGCACAAAGAAAAATGTGCTAAACAGTGCAGTATTTCAGACATGGAACATGAAACATTGGATAATGATGCTAGTTCTTCGCTTAATTGTCTAATTGACAAGGATGTCAAAGAGGAAAGTTCTAGTAACAGTAGCAAACAATCAACAGATGAGATGGAAGTAGATACTGAGATTGAGTCTGTAGATTCTGATGAATGGATCAAAGATGCTGAAAACCCAGTAAGAAATAATGATTGTCTGTTTTGCAATCATCATAGTAGATCTTTGGTGCGTAATTTGAAACACATGACCATTGCACATTCATTCTTCATACCAGATCCAGAATATTGCACAGATATTAAAGGTATACTTACATACCTTGGAGAAAAAATTTTTGCAGGATATATGTGTATTTGGTGCAATGATTCTGGTAAGCAAGTTTAAATCCTTATTTCTAGGGTTTTATTATAATCCCTAGGGTTTCCCCCAATAGGGTTTTATTTTACTATACAGGGTGTTTATTTTACTCCCATGAAAAATTGTTATTCTATATTTTAGACTTATTTTTTCATGTAGAATCACCCCCTTTTTGCTTGTACCATCAGTTACACCCTGTATTAAAATAATTTACTATTTATTAACAGGAAGGAGCTTTCAAAGTGCAGAAGCTGCCAGAGCACATATGATTGATAAAGGCCATTGTAAAATGTTGCATGAAGGAGATGCTCTTGCAGAATATGCAGGGTTTTATGATTATTCATCCAGTTATCCGGATGCAGAAAGTGGTGATCCAGATGCAGAAGTAGAAATACCTGAATTAGATGATAATGATTATCAACTAGTATTGCCTTCAGGAAATGTTATTGGTCATAGATCTTTAATGAGATACTATAAACAAAACTTAAATCCGAATAGGGCGGTCGCGATACCTAAGAGTGAAAAACTGCTCAAAGTACTGTCTCAGTACAGAGCACTTGGTTGGACAGAAACACAGCAAGAAGCTGTTGTAAAGAAAGCCAGAGATATCAAATACATGCAAAGAATACAGGCTAAATACTCAACACAATTACAGTTTAAAGCAAATAAATTACAAAGATATTTCAGACCCCAAGTAAACTTCTAGATCTCGCTATTATATGTATAAATATTGTTACAAGACTGCATTCCTTTTTTAATTATATAATTTTTATGAAGGATAAATTGTCAGGCGTGCTTATTATGTTGCATATTTATACATTTATTAAAAAAATAAAGTTTGTACTTATTTAGTTGAAATCTGTACTTAATATATGATGATTACTAATCACGAAATTAAAAATTGGTCGGTAGAACATATAAGCTGTAAATCATTATAAACTGTAATATTTATTTGGCGGATATTCTTACAAAATAACTTGTAATATATTTTCGTAACACGTGATATCAACAAAAATATTTCTTGTAACTTTTAGTTTACACTCGTGTGGACCCATTATCCAGTAATTCCTGAACCCATGAGCTAAGCACTCTTTTCAATGAATCATTACACACGGATTGCGAGATAATCCGTATATTGCGCTTTCATGTTAGCTGTAAAAAAATGCGCACACAATCGAAAATATCGGGAATTGTGTACTCATACGTATACGATATACTTTCATATTACCATCAGTAAACTTTAGAATGTACAGAAAAGTTAACAAACGTCAAACTATAACATTTGACACCATTTTCGTTTCCTACTAGATCACTATCGACAATGCGATGCACGCTGGTTTTTTTTTCGCAATATACAAAAACGTAAATTTTATTTCGTACAACATTTTTTAATGTATAAATCAGAGCAGTTGACCCGTCGAGTTCGTTCTGAATTAGCAGAATGCAGAACAAAAGTCCAATAAACAAAATGTTAAATGGATCTTTATTCTGGCATTTGTCAACTCAAATATTTGTTACCGCTTCATTTTTCTTATTTTTTTTTTACTAACGACACATCGTTCGAAACACAGACATGGGTCAGTAACCGATGTTTCGAATCTTTAATACGTTCTACGAGAAACACGGTTCACCCTTTTTTGTTAAATATAATTACTTTGTAAATGCGTTTTTGAGACAAACATACATTAGAGAGCTGTTATTGTCAGACAACGATACACATAGTTTTACTCTACTGCTCTTTTGTAAGATATTTCTGCTTGAAGATTTCTTGAATAACGTTGAATTTCAATTTCGATTTTTTTTTTTTTTTTCTTTAATTCAATATTTTCACCATCAGCTTTAAAGCTTGATGGGGAGGAGTTGGTCTGATTGATTCATCGAGATCCGTATACGGGATCTCGGCTTCTACTTGAAAACCGCGTTTCAAGCATACTTTTTGCGAGAACATTCCGGTCGCGTCTGCTTTGAACACCTGCAAAATATATCACCAAATTGAGCAGTGATTTGGGGACTTTTTATTGTCCACGAACGTACATACATTGCGTGCAAAAAATACCTCTCGAAAAAGTAACGAGTGCATTGCAAAGTACATCTTGGGAAACGAAAATTCATCCCATGCATTATAATCGAAGAACATGCTGAAACAAAAATAGAACGTGAAATTTGATCGAACAGTCATCTTCTCGCAACACAGAGTGCTATACACGCACGAGCAGATGCATACAAATCTATTTTTTAATTCAGATATGTATGAAAAATTAATATTAATAATCGTTTAACAGGTTAGAACATGTTAACTTCTGCCATTTTATTAACAAGTGTATATACGAAATAATATGTTAAAAATATAATTTATTTGATGCTAAAACTAAATAAATTACGTATTTAACTTTCAAGTTACTTTTAACATCTTTTCTATGAATAATTAATCTTAAATACGTTATAAATAAATAACTCATTTTTGTTCAAAGTTTAATGAGAAATGAGAAGGTATAAAATAGACGATATGACATTATTGCAAATTATATTTCAAATCTGGGTGTGCGCCATAAAATTAGAACACGCTCGTGTTAGCGGCTTGGTAAAGGTCACGGAACACCATTTGAAAGGAACGATTTATTTTTCTCCGAACCTAAATGCATGCATCAGACATTTACGTACAAAATTACATGTTAAACATTGTAAAAAATGGTACAACACTCGCAATTACCTTGAAACCAGCATTTCTTGCTGTTTCTTCGCTATCGGCCATCAAAATATTCGCCAAACCCCTTCCGCGGAAGTTCTCGTCTACGCTAAGGATTCGACATTCGAACAATTCATCGACGTTGTACTTTGAAAATAGATCGACTTTCTCATTAACCTTATAGAGAAGCCCAAAAATTATTTTGAACTTTTCATCGTTTAGTTCGGCAAGCCGACGTTCAGCCTCTTCGCGTTCTCCCTTTTTCAGGATACCATTCAAAGCCATTCCTGCTATCTATTATGATAATGAATTTAATATTCAAGGTCCATATGTCGCGGAGAAAACATTCGTCCGTCGATAAAAAGAAATTGCAATAGTATACAAAATGAACCATCGGGTTGAAAAAAAATATGCAGATATTTTTTTTTATAGAGAGCAATTATACAACTACCTTTTTTAAATTTCAACTTACCGTCCCATTCGGATCCACGAGCATCCTCGAGTATCCCTGCTTTAATGTGAGCAGGCAGTGTCTTTCCAGCTCGAACTGACTTTCTCCTTTTTCACAAAGACCTACCGCATGATTCAACGGTTCATCGGAGAAAAAATTCCACTTCAAGTGGTGGATTGCATCTTTGAAACGATTTTCTGGGACTTCCACAACTTTTAAATGATCAGACGACATCTTTGGGGTGGTCACCGCACGAATTTTCCGCGCACTGAAAGGATTTTCCACGCGCGCACCACCCTTAGTAGGGAGAGTTAGCTCATATGGGAAAAGGTCCATATATTGATTGACCCAGTTCAAGAAATTTACTGGCTATAATGATTATGCATCCTTAATTATTCTTAATGCCAAGCGCGCATCACGGGTACCAATGGTATCTGTAGATTTTGGCGAATAATTGAAAGTTCACATAAGATTTCGATCTTTGAGTATTAATAAGATGTAGAATTAAAAATAAGCACGTGAATATTTTTTGGAGAAGATCAGTGATATACACATATCCACACTACGAAATAAAGGCATGCTTCTTCAAGAAAGAAAGCAGGAATAAAACGGAAGTGAATGGAGAAGAATATAAAACATAGGGATTGAACGTAGACGCACATGTTTATTATTCATAACTTTTTTACTAAATACTGGATTTTATAACATTTCATAATGTTATGTATTTCACGAACTGTTCACGTTTACTAATACCCTTATTAACAAAGTAACAATACGAATATTTCGAATGTGTTTACATATAGTAGCACTTTCAGGAAATGACAAGGTAGTAATGTACAGTCAACATACATTATAATGAAATTAAAATATGTTAACAATACGATAAAAAAACCCATAATTATTTGTTTACTTTATTTGAAATTAATATTGTCTAAGGATTTTCTGAAAGGATTGAATTGTTGTTTTATCATACTTCATTATTTACACTTTATCACATTCGCTCAGAATTGAAACATTCTTTTTTTTTAATACTTCTGCATGTGAAAACAAGCTATTTACAGGCTTTAGAATAAAATATCATCATCTCCTTCATCCAACATATTTGGAGTTTCAATATCTTGACCAGCAGCTATCATTTCTTGTCTAGCTTGCTCAAACTGCAAAATAATTTAAACATTGGGTGTATTTTCCATTAAAAAATGAAACAATCTAAATTTTGGAATGTTACCTTAACTTTTGCTTGTTTCTTTTTATCTTGTATCTTCTTTAAACGATAGAACTCTTCTCTCTCCAGTTCATCTAGTTCAGAAATTATATAAGCAAGGGTCCTTTCAATTCTTGGAATGATAACATGCTCAATGGCATTTACACGGCGATTTGTAATTTTAATAACCTCATCCAAGGTTACAAAACTTGTCTGTAAAGATGCTAACTCTACTAACAACTTGACTGCTTTTTGATAATTTTTTTTCAACTTGGCTAATTGTTGGCCACCTCTTGCCAAACCAGCTAATTCATATGTATCTGAGCCATCTTGATAAGATTCAAACACTGGAAGATTAACACCAGCAACATTATCTTTTTTAGAGCGAATTTTAATTTGTGCTTTTGTTACATTCTGAAGAACTACTTGATTGAAATCTCCAGTTGCAAATTTTGCTTCTGCCAATGAAAAAGCTGCCTCTTTCATTACTTCACCCATAAGTGTTTTTGTCTACATAGAAATACAGGAAGCATAATCATTATAGTACATGATAAACAATTACAGATATAAGTAGGACATTTTATACCTCAATAATTTTACCCAAAATTAATCTAAAACGCATTTGCAATGCATCTGCTTTCTTTTTCAACAAACCATGACCTTTTTGTGCTCCCTGCAAACGGGATTTCATTAACATTTGAGCACTGAAAAAAAGCATATTAAAATTAATATAATGAATAACATGTTCCGAGGAACCACATGAACGATGTATTTAAAAATGCGTTTTAAACATTTTAAATACACTGAGGTAGGGTTACACCCATTTAACGACGAATGTCAAAAGTTTTATGTAATTCGGGAGGGAATGATAATAAATATTAAATAAATAGGAAGTTAAATTCATGAGCGGATAGAAAGGATCTGAGCAATTCATAAGTGAAATACTCACCCCCGAGAAGGGAAAATTGCAAGTTTATCCTTTCCAGACATTGCAGAGAACTATCAAGCAGATAGGAATGAGATTGATCAGCTGACTCGTGAGACCGGAAACGTTAAATATATGTAGTTGTGCTTTAAAAGGCGCGTGATTTAAGAAATAACAAAGTAATTTACTTCTTTCCAATATCTAACGATATTTGATTTACTTGTCGACAAATGATAACGCCATTGAAAATAATTTCTTTCTTTTTTCCATATTTAAAAATTACTTCCTTATGTATCGATTATATAAAACAGTGGAAAAATGAAATGTGCCAATATTAACGATTCGAAAATTATTTAATTTTCATAACCAAATGCAAAATTACATTAAAGCATATAACACAGGATTCAAGGTTAATTTAATATAAAAATGAATTAACAAAAAGTATTAAAATTGACTGATTCTTAATGGCGGGAAAACAGATAAATTCCCTCGTATTTGACAAAATGGAAGCTTTCGTTTTGTAACGATTAAAAAAAGAAAATCGTTGTTTTTCCATTAGTGTTAACGAGTTACAGAATATATGTACATATGTATTCTGAATGAACGACTGCGCTGTCAATTCACATAATTTGCGTAGAAGTTGCTTACGATCGGGAATAATAATATAAGCTTGCGAGGGCATCCTCGTGAGAATTAATATTGTTTAATTACGATTGTAGGTTTGCCCATAGTTAATTTAGTAAAATAATGTTTTTATAGCTATATAGAGATTTCTTTTTCAGCTCAGTTCCCATTAATCTGAAGAAATGATTCATGTACCAGATATTTCTAAAGATTTTATTCTGAATAAGGCAGTTCGAGATGCTACCAATATTTTGCTTAGACCATATATGCCTGTGATATTATCAGAATCATCTTCAAGTATTTACGGCAATAAATATGAGACGACAAATAGTGCTACACATAAATGGATATTAAATTCACAAGATTTTTTACTAAGAATGACAAGAATTGCATGGGACTTCCTCAATGTTTTTAGCGTGCTTCGGAATAATGTCGCAAACGAAACAATAGAAGAAAACGCAACAGATAATGATATTTAAACTCCTTACAAATTATTATTAATACACGTATTGAGTAATATTAATAGGAAAATATTCGATAAAATGTATTTTTATTTTTTTTTAAAGCAGCTTCTACGGCAATTATGAACTGACACTCTATATGGCAGGAAAAATAAATAGGTAAAGACTATGTAATTGAGATAAGTATTTTTAATAAAACTGTACAAGAAGGCATCTGACAATTATTTACAGTAAAACTGATTGCCCAGGTTTTAATACCTGTCTTACATTTATATTTATTCTGGCTTCAGAAACATAAGTTTTAGCTTTGTCCCAATCATTATGATCCCATATACAATACTGTTTTTCATTGTTACTTGTTGTTGTTGATTGATTGTCATCCCATGGTAAAGAAGTAGCTGCTAAAATTTTTGGTACTCCGTGATACCTTAAACGAGACTTTCCAGACATTACTAATATATCACCACTTTGTAAAAATATAGGTTTAGCTGCATCATTTTTTGCAAGTCCACCAATTAAAAATATTGCAGTCTGGCCAAAACTTATAGAAAATAAGGGTGCTTTAACATTAGCTTCCGAATGATCTGTGTGGCCTGCTAGAGTCGAGTTCATCCTGTAATAATTGATAATTGCTGCTTCTGCTTTAAAATCCATAAAACCTAAAACCTTTGCCAAAAATGAAGTTAATAATGACAACTCATTAGGCATTTCTGTCTTATTTGTTTCAGAATATAATTTTGTATCCCAGTTATGATGGTAACCTAATGTTGCCCAACGTAATTTTGGCAATAGTAGCTTAGTTTTGTCACAGTTTCTAAAATTAATATAGTAAATACATGTACTCCACATATATTTGTTTATATTTTTATATTATATCTTACCCAAAACAAATATCCCACCAAGTTTTATCATTGTCCAAAACATTATGAGCATCTAGATTTAATTTATATGGTTTCCTAGAGTAATCTTTTAAACATTTTATGATCCAATATCATTGCCCATCAGAGGTGAACGGATTTTTTATAAAGACAAGCCCTAATTATAAACATAAAATATTTAAATTTTGGACTCACTTCATAAAATCAACATTCATTCATACCTGGAATATCTACAAATTCGTAGATTTTCCAGTCTTCCACTGGCTTCAATCCCAATCTATGTTCACATTGTTCGTTCAATAATTTCCTTTTAATACTTGAAGTAAAAACAACCTAAAAGGTAAAAGAAAATTCTATACGCGTGAAGTATATGAAAACGTTTCAATTTGTGACCTACTTCGTTAGAGTTTGGATTATTTAAATCGATCACATCCTTTAAATCAGGAAATGAACTATTACTTTTGTAGTATTTAAAACTGTCTGTAAACATAATTTTGAACCATGAGCATCGCCATCTTGATTAATTCGTTTACGTATCGATGAACGTCGCCAGTGCCCCCATCAATCGTTTCATGTAATTTGAAAGTAAGTTTTAACGTAGATTTCTATGTAAGATACGATTAAATGCTTTAGATGTTTGAATCAGAATGTCATTTTGACCTGTTTGCTATACGAGGGTAATCGAAAGTATCGATCTTAATGTTATTAACCATTAGAACGTGGCATTTCCTCAAAGATACCGTAAAAATTGCAATTGTACGCCAATGCGTCTACAACTGATACATCAGTAAGTAATCAAAAATGAATCTATGATGAGACATGTGACTAAGAACGGAGAAATTGATTGGACGCGTTAGACAGCGCATTGTGCCATTATAAGTATTCGATTCACTTACGATTAGCATAATATCATCATCGTTGTCGCGAACATTAATAGCGAGATACATATCGAAAAAGTACGGGTTTCAAGCGATTCTTTTTTCTACGAGCCCGTCCCATACACACTCGGTAATGGACTATGACTAATTTTAGAGTGTAATTTTCGCATAATAACGCTGCCAGGAAATCTATGATTTCATAGAGCCGAAGAGAGGTACGTCGCCCAACTTCAAGGCTTTTCGAAAGCTCAGCGCAAATTAATAGTGCGCACCGCGCTAATAATCGTTTATTACCATCGCTTCTATTCTCCATAAATTCCACCCACCCCGGTTGCAATTCGCTGTTCACCTTAGACTGTAAGAATACGAACAAACCTCGCTCCAGTTCATAATTCGTTCACATGAAATGTCATCTTTGTTTTCAATGAAACTTCAGACGAATGACATCTTAAAAACTTCGTACATTTGATCGAAGCAGTCCCTACGTGTCTTTTTACGTTGGTTATCAACGAACTTCATCAGCCCGGTTGATAAGTATGGTAATGGTTACGATTACTAACCTTAAAAAATTCAGTCGTTACATTAATTTTGTCCTTGTCGATTAATCGCAACATTGAGATTGCTAAGAATAACCTGTAGTATTGGTAAAAAGTATTTAATTAAAATATGAAATCATGATGGAAAGAAACAGATTTAAGCATCTTTGACGATATCGTCACGTACGAACAATGCTAGAAGCGAGGAAAAGGGACGAAAGTATCGATACATAGATATGTACATACATACTTGGTACTACGCTCGGTAGTATCGCAACACGCGGCTGAAATGCCGGTGCATTAAGGGAGCGCATATCCTCTGACAGTTTCATGTTAACAACAAATGTCGTGTCCGCAGAGTCGCGCCCAGCCATGAGCCAGGCCTGCACCAGAACTCGCGGTGCATTCGCGAGATCGGCCAATCGTGTGGCCCGATCACGCCACTGCTAGCCAATCAGCGCCATTCTCGATGACGACGGTTGCTAATAATAGCTCGTATATATCTAGGCCGGCCGCGACCGCGAATTATCCACAGTCGTGCGCCGGCAGCCGACGGAGTAGGACGGTGTGGGGCGTATCGGAACGCTGTGTTATTGTTCGCACTGAGAAGGTAGGATCCGTACACGCACCGAAAACCGTCTTCTCTGCACGTAATAAAGCTCTTTGTAGGTCGAGTCGGGTACGCGGCTATTCTTGTAATATAGTTCGAGGGTGCAATAAAGTGTATCGGGTCTGCAGGCGCAATTTCGTTGAAATTCTCGGGGTGACTAGATTGTCGCGCGTTTTCGAGCTTACAAGACCAGTGACATTTGGTTTTTAGCAAGATATACTTGCTGCTTGTATCGATTGTGGAATATGTGTAAACATCGCTTGTCAGTTTTCTGCGGTACGACGATTATTACAATTTTTTCGGAGGTATTTTTTGTGAATTTCGTTTACGTTTGGAAGATTATCATCAGATTCGTTGTTATCAAAATTTAGTAGAATATTTCTCCTCGAGAAACAGGTACCAAAATGAACGACGATAATTTTTCTGTCGTCGAACATCGCGAAGATCGAGTTCGCAACTATTCAAGGTCGCACGACTACCGAGCGGAGCTTTATTACGAACATGTTGCATTATTACGGCAAGAGTCGAGAGAAGAATATGTTAAATGCGACGTTTGCTTCGCGACGTGGGTATATTATCGTACGCGTAGAAAACGATTACTCTTCGACTTTAACCTATTTTGTTTCTTTGCTTTCCATTAACATACAGCTTACTGATTTTATTAACTATTCGAATAACAATAACAGTGAGAATCCACCTTTTCTTTGGTAATTGTAATTAGTTTCAATTTCAATTTCTCGAAAATCGCGGTAACGTTCGTGTGCCGTGTTTTCATGAATATGAAGTTGGCCATAAAGTTGATTATCGGTTACATGCGATACTAGTCGAAAAAGGTATCAGAAAACATAGAAAGAAGATTTTTAGAGCGACGTTTAACGGTCACAAGTAGAACGAGAAAAAGTTAGTGAGTTTCTACGATGTTACAATTCAAAGAATAAGTTTTGAGAATTTGACAACGAGCAGTGGATTCATGACACCTGAGGATGGACTCGCAGCAATGTATGATTAGTGTCACGGAGAACATCTGGTGTAGTGGGGAACCTTAAATATAGCAAAACAGAACATTGGCAACATTGTGGCGAATCTAGTAAGGACTATATAGTATCCTCACACGGTACCAATGTTCTCGATTGCACAACCCTGTGCTTAAACTAAACATTTAAATTAAACATTTATGCTGGGCCAGCGTCGACTTTTCGTTTAAATGTTTTGAATGCAGTGCAGATATGTTCGCATGGGGAAATTGTTTTCGATTTCTTACGATCGGTCAAATATATTCTATGTATCTACGTAAACGAAAGTGTAGTGTTCATATTGGCATGTAAAGTGGAGTTAAGTAGGATCACAAATAACCGTAATCATAAACCCTCATATTACAGTAGTTTAACCGTTGAGTACGTTTATTACAGACGACTTAGTGTTTATGGAAATGTGCGTTCGTCGGTGAACATATTTGTAAGAAGGAAAATAAACTTCGTGCAGAATTTAGCATTTATCGAATTTGTTTTTTATTTGAATTTTAAGAGTAATAACGAAACGTTTTATTTGTTAAGCGACTTACCATCGAATGGTCAAGTTTGATTAATCGCAATAACATAAATGATTTCCGTAGTAATGATTTCCGCTATTGAAAAGTAAACCAACTCGTACGAATCTCTTCGGAGATTCCAGTTTGCGAAGCCACGAGAACCTTAAACGTTTACTTTCGTTTGTAAACTTCCTCCGCGACTGATAAAAATTATACAATAATAATCTTATCTTTGTATTCGCTATGTAAACGCGTCAATCCACCTAGAGTGCAACATGCTCAGTATGATGATTAGTTGTAATGTTAGATAACGATAATTCTCTTCATATATTATTATGTAAGGAAGAAAAATAGAGAAATTTCGAGAAAAGAATTGTTTTACGAAAAATACACGTACGTTGACTGCTACACTAGGTTCCCCTATCTAGGGATATCATTGACATTTGTTGAAATTAGTCTTCAGTTTTGAGCAATTATTGTTGATCGATTGATCCATAGTAAAGAATCTTTGTTCTTCCGTGACCATGACCTTACTTTACTGGCATTTCGTCCTTAGATCGTCGATGAGCTTCGATAGCGTGGACATTTCCATAACTCCGAAGGTTATTAAATATTGCAACTAGAGAAGTATCTTTGCTTCTCAAATGCACCTTTTTAGTCTTGTTTTCATGTAATTTTGTCCGCTCCTCGCAAATTACACTCGATTATTGTTATCGTTGTTCTTATCCCTCCTTCGACCGTCGTTCTTGGTATAATTTAGAACTTTTTTCAGGAGACGTTCCAGATAATGGAAATATTCCGTGGGTAAAACAATCAAGCTTTCGAACAATTGGCACGTTGGAATACATTGCGGTTTATTTGGACAGATCCGATCATACGAGCGTTAAAGCAGCCACAATCGGTAGTTTTCATTTTTTTTTTTTTTAATATACTTTTATCGTTTACAAAAACTCATAACAGATCACATCACAAAAACAAAGTTCAGATGTATACACAGTTTTTTCAGAGGCTCGATACGGCTAGTTACAACAAAAGAGCACGTTTTAATTATATTTACCGCGGTCAAGGAAAAACGTAACGCGTATAAAAGAATTTGCGATGATTTACTGGCGAGAAGCAAGTTCGCTCGCTCGCTCGAGTCACTTTCTTACACATAGGTGATTACAAAGTCGAGAGATGATATAACTGGATTTGCAAGTTGTCATGGTGAAAGAGTGAGAGGTGCTCGGAAAAAAGGAGTTGGTGGGGGAGGCCATTATTGCTCAAGGGCGTCAATTTACCGATTGAATTTAAAATGCTAATATGCATTGCAGAGAAATGGCGGTAGGAAAGATTTACGTTGCGCGGGAACACAATATGTAGCCCAATTTGATCCACCATTCTTAAACTTTTTAACCTCGACTGTGCTTACGAGGAACTGTCGAAATTGTTTGATGGGGAACATAGAGGTTTTAAAAATTGATCAAAGATCGAAATTTGGATCGTTGCTCTCGACCACCCTGGAAACTTACAGTCGTTAGTCTGCTCTTCTTCAGAGACATTTTATCCCTTTTTCGTAGTTTCTTGCTTGCATTTTCCTCTCTTTGATCTGCCTTACATACACGTCCACCTTGTCACGATCCCTTCTTACAGCTTCGCTAAATAACCAATCCTTGACCAACCACACCCAATTCTTTTGTTATTCCGATTCCTTCGTAGATTAAAAGCTTACTTTTAAAGAGTTTCAATTGTTTGTATTTCGTGTATGTAACCTGCCTAATATTGTGATCGTTACATCACATCATCGCGCCGACACGTTCTTTAATAACGGGAGTTTACGATCGTGTTTACACTCGTTCCTATTTCATAATTTTTCTCCTTTTTCGCTTCTGACTTCCTTTTCGTTTTTACAGTAAGTGGCTGAAGTCATCGCGTCGCAGAGAGTCCGTTCTTTAATGGCATAAATTCTACTAGGAATCGCCTCGCATCGCGGTAAGGCCAACGATGCACATTATTATGCTCTTAATTTATCGCGGACAACCAACAACAAATCTGTGTCACTTTAGAGATCAAAGCGAAGTCGAAGTGTAAGAAGAGTGACGGCTAGCCATACACCGTGGATTGCTTCTTTAAATTGCTGTGTAACGCTTTCGGAACGACGACACCGGACGATTGTAAATAACACTGGCATACTTGTAATATCGCTAATAATATTTCCAGCCTAGTCCGAATTACCAGTCTCGTATTACGAAACGAACATTTCTAGAAAGAACACACCGCGTACGTAAAATCAGCGACAATCATCCACGAGTATCTTTATTTTCGGTGAGGCCTATACCTCCGTGGCTTTGGTTATTCTTTTGCTCACTGGCAAAACGCGACTCGTGTTTTGTAACGACACTGACAGTTTTATTGTACTATATTACAAGTGTCAGCTGGCTGGCATCTGTGAACGTCTTATATTTTTTTTCAATAACACAATCATCCTAGGAATTTATGCTACGTCTATAGAATGCAACATTTCAGTTCGCGTCTCTTAGTTATCGAACCTTTTTAGGTGAAAATGTTTGAAGATATACAGGGACAAAATTTTAATGAGCGATTCTGGAGGCCAAAATAAGACGAAAATCAAGAATACCAATTTGTTGATTGAGGCTTCGTTAAAAAGTTATTAACGTTTAAAGTTCCACCGGAATTGAATTTTTTTCTCGAAAATACGCAGGATTTCGGGGGTATGTCTATTCACCAAAAATAATTTTAATTCGCCCCCGCAACTGGAAATAATTTTTCCAGAACGATTTGAAATTTTTTTTTCGTCGAAAAATTTAGGCACCTAATTAGATTTTTCCACCTATACGAATTTTTTTCTCACAAGTGCGTAGGATTTTGGGGGTATGTCTATTCACCAAAAATGCTTGTAGTTGATTCCTGCGACCGAAAATAATTTTTTTAGAATGATTAAAAAATTTTTTTTGCCGAAAAAATTTCTGGTCTACATGGAACTTTAAACGTTAATAATTTTAAGGAAGCTTCGATCAAAAAATTGGTGTTCTTGATTTTCGTCTTATTTTGGCCTCTAGAATCTTCCTTTCAAATTTTCCCAAAATCGATTTCGATCGTTTCTATAGACTCCACCGTTCCAATCCACGTTCCACTTGTTGCATGCGCGCAACATTTTTCCGGCCATTTCCAGTTATTTTCGTCGCCGCCTATTTTCACGCCTCGCCACCCTTGACGCGTTGTTTATCGCTATTTCTTTTCCACGCTTTTTCCCTCTGTAATGCGGTATATCGACGGTGAATTTTGTATTTGCGCGAAAAGAACTTTTATCGACGACGCGCTCTTGTTACGCAATAGAGCTGTCAGAATACTCGGAAAACCGAGCCGAGTTTTACCAAAGGAACGTCGAAGTAAAATAAAGAAACTCGTGGATGATATAGACGGTAACAGGTCATAGAAATATTAAATTCTGATTAATAATAATATAAAAATAGTAGCGATAATACGACGAGATATAAATGATCTACCTAGAACATATGTACTTAGATCATTCTATATGTTCCATTGTTTTTTAACTGCTTGGTTTTCCCGAGTGCTCGAATCGGTTCGGTTCGAATTTCGAATTGTTCGAACATGCGAATGCGAGTACGCCGACAGTCCTATTACGTAATCAGCGTTCGCTCGCGCGAGTAAAGAGGCGGTAGACACACGCTGGATTTCAAAGCGTCGATCGCACGTGCTCGACGATCCCAAAGTTTCGAATTTCTCGTGTTCGTCGAGATGCTTCTTGGTAGTTCCGCGAAACTTGTCTCGCGATTTGGGTCTCTGACCAAACAGAGAGATACACCGAGATAAAAACCTCTTTGTTCGCCACTAAAACCGCGTTCTTCTTTTCGACGATTTCGTTTAAAACTTCCAGCAACGTCGCGCGCTGGATGTTCGTTTCTCATGATTCCCCCATCGATGGCAAGCAGGCCTTCCGTATCTTTCGATCTGCCGTGAACCGTAGAGACCTCGGTGTTCCTCGGAAGCGAGAGTTATCGATCTTTATTCCCTGAACCTTAACTCTGCGTTACAGCACGTTACTCGGTGCTCTATTCACCGCATCGCTATCGACGCTAACTTTCCTGGCAATTAGGCTTTATCGCAAAGTCGATCACCGCTCTGAATCTTCGCGCGTTCTCTCGTGGCTTGCTCGATCCTAGGCTGTAATTAAGCCACAACCTGGAATATTCTTGGACGAACAAATCGCGTCGATTTTTTCAAAACAAGCGCGAATCCTTTCGGAAAATTCAGGTGTTGAATTACGAAATGGTGCTCCGAGTCAGCGTGACACATCGGGAAAATCGCGCGAAGGATCGTTGTGACACGAAACGGAATGCTCCAAAAGAATTTTTCTGCCGTTCATGAACGATCGGAAGAATGTCTCGTTCTATCCTTGCGTCGTTTTCAACAGCTCGCTTTAAAGTATTATACATCCATCGGAAAGACGTTTTTCTTCAAAGACTAGCCGTTGTTCGACTCTTATTTATGTAATGCAGAAAGAATTGCGTCATTGCGCACGAGTAATCGTTCGCCGTTTCTTGGTAAAAATTATCACAAGTTTGTACAAGTATACGTAGTTTCCATTGTTCCATTGTCTAGGTCGTCTCACGAATTTGCGCCCGTATGACGGGAACGGATACCCCAAGAAGGGAGAACATCATGCGGGTTCGGGAGACATCAATCTCCATTAATTGTTCCTTTCCTAACCGTTTCTTCGAAAGGTCGTAGATCGTTGAGGCAGTCTAAAAACGGGTTGAGCCTGCGACATGCTATTTCATTCAGCCAACGTAAACTCGTCTGGTTATTCTTGAATGATCAATATCCTAAATGATTATTTTTACCACGATCGGTTGCAAAACTCTGTTCGTGGTGATGGGGCGTACGCTCTTTACCCACTCGGGTTTCACACGTTCAAGATGGTGTGTGCGTGCGTGCACAATGTGGCCGCGGAACGTAAGTTCGTTTCGTCGATTTCCTCTTTCCTCTTTCCTCTTTCCTCTTTCCTCTTTCCTCTTTCCTCTTTCCTCGTGCCGTTCCAGGCGGTCGCGACGGTCATAGACGAAACGCACACAAACTGGCCACCGTATGTAAATTACACGCCTGGCGGCAACGAGCGTGTGGTCGCATTACGGAGTGGACAGGAAGCATAAATTTCGTTGCGAACACCAAACATAGCGCGGGAAGAGTGGTGCGTAGGAAACGCCAGGGCAGCTTCGTGTTTTCAGTAACTGACATTTAGTGAGTTCGATGGATCTGTCCGAGTCTCTCGTTGGCATTAACTCGTTCGCTGGCAACGTTCAATTTTCCTTGTTTAGAGTTTATACTCGACAATTTTCCAAATTACAAAGCGTTAAATGCCCCTAGTCGCGTTGTAATTGCCGTTTCCAAGCGTCAGAATTCTGACTCGATGAATCGTTGAGGTTTTAGTGGTTTTCAAGAGGACGATTATCAGTTTATAAAAGTAAAACATTGTTAGCTGTGGGTAAATCATTGTTGTCACGCTCTAGGACACCGGTAAAGTAATTTGCCGTAATTAAAGCTGTATAATTGGGACAGATATCGTCGTAATACTACTCCCCCTGTTTCCTCGCCTCCACGGGGGCTCATTGTTGCAGTTTCGTCGTTCCCGCATCTAAGAGTCCGTGCAACATGAATATTGCATTTCTTTTCGTTTTAATCTTTATTACCCGTGGCTCCTGAATTTAAAATATTGACGGTCGATAGAGGATTTTCCCGATTGTAGATTCAATGGCAGCGACGGCAACGAATAGTTGCGCGAAGCGTGCGAGGCACCGACTTTTCAAACTTTTTCTTTTGCATCGACCTTTCACCTTCATCGTACGCCTTCTGCCAAGTCGAAATTTCTCCTTGGCTAACACATACTGTTCTCCAACAGGTTCGTGCTTTATCGTCGTTTCCCTTTGTGCATTTTTACGATGGCCTTGCCTCGCGTTTCTCTCCTCTTTTCTACCTGCTCGTTTTTCTATATTTGCACAACCCGCGGAGTCTATTGAGCCACGCGATCACTCCCGGGGCGAGTTTATAAAAAAGAACCGTAGGAAAATTAGCGTTTTGAAAACTTATCGTCGCAACCTTGTCATTTAACGTGAGATAGCGTAGGAGTTGTTGTCCTCGAACGCTCGGGAAACCTGGTAGCTTGATTATGCTATATCGCTATTGTTTATTATTTAATATGTTTCTACCGCTAAAACAAACTGCTTTTTAACTCTTTCTAACCATTGTCTCCTGTTGACTTCTTGTTCGCAGTGCTTTGGAATCGATCGCGAGTGTTGTAGGAGTTTGATGGGATTTGGATAGGCGAAAATTGGCATGTTCTCTATTGGCGATCGAACGCGTATATACGTTGCAGAAACGACAGCCGTAGGAATTAGGCCGCCCACGCTTATGTCGACGACCGTACCGAAAAAGCACGATAAAAGCTTTCTGACCAGATGGGCACCGGTTGCGCAAGAGAGTTTGCGCTCTCTGTACACCACGATCTCTTTCTCCTTTTGTGTTCTTTTACGCGCCGTGTACGTGCCACGTAATGGCATATCTGTCCCCCCCATTTTCTTCTATTCCTCGCGAACAATTTTTAGCCACGCGTTTTCGATAGAAGGACTCGATGTTCTCTCGAGCTTTGTTGCTCTCGTTGGGCACACACAGCAACCGTGCATCGAAGCAAAGCAGCTTCGTAACGCCGACCGTGTCAAGCTGCGAGTCATAAATACACCAGCAACGATATATCGACCCTCTCGGCCCCCTTTCTGAAAAGCGTCGAGACGCTCCGAAAATCCCGGCAACGCGATCGTCTTTCGCTCGCCCGCGCGGACCAAGTCGGTAATTAATCTTTCTCCGATCCTCTGGATTCCCCCGGACATGTACCGCGGTCCCCGCTAGCGATGGGATCGAGCTCCGACACGAAATTCTAAATCTCTATCTACGGAAACATTCGTCGAGAACACTGTTGCACGAAACTGAAAATCTCGTTTCGTACTTTGAACATATCCCGTCGCGTCGACGCTTGTGGCATGCTCGATTCCATCGCTAAATAGTTCTTACCGTGCCGCACGTGACGAGAGTTCCACAGTCGCGCAGGAGGAAGGAACACGGAACAGATCGTTCGACAAAGAAAATGGTTTCGAGTAATTTAGAAAAAGAATATTTTTTTTAAATTCGCTCTACACTTTTCCCCTCTTGGTTCCTGTATAATTGATTTGCATAGGTTGTTTACACGACGATGAAAAAGAAATAAGCGACGATCGCAGAGTACAGTGCTTCATTGTTGGCAAAACGTCATCTGCGACGTAACCGACCGACGTAAACAGTTCTCCGCAGCGCGCGCGATATGTGTGCCCCACGTCGTCGATCAACAACCGAAAACTCCCCCGGCCCCCTACGGGCGGTGTAAAATTACCTTGAGAATGTCAACAGTACTACGAAAGCCAACAAAGGTTTCACTGTGCGCGAGTTCGAAAGCTCTGTGCTCGGTTCTATGTAGGGATCTGGCGATAAAGTCGATAAAGTTTCCGCTGTCGGCGCGATTTCGTCGCGTGAGAGGAGGAACGAACCCCCCACGAACACCACGACACAATACCCTCGACCAGAACGATCCCTACGAATCGGAAGTGTGCTTATTATTAGGCGGTCGCTCTACGAATAGCTTGGATGCACCTTGACGCAAAATAAACTATGCGGCGTTTATAATTTTTAAAGTGGCGATCTTCGCTCGCTCGATCGCTCGTTCATTCATTCGCCAACATTCTCTCTGGCCCTCCCTCTCGATCGGGAGGATTCCTACTCGTTGTACAGCGATCGATCGACGTCGAAAATCTTGTAACGGGGAAGCCTCGAAAACAATCGTTTACTCTTACAGTCGAATGAAACTGAATCGAGTGCTCAAGGATACTTTTTCGGCCGCGAATTGCGTCGGATACGATTTGTATTTTTATGTCTGCCAACTCGCCTCTGTATCTGAGACTCAAAGAAACGAATAATAGACTTTAAGAGAAGTAAGGGTGAGACCGATCGGGTCATTCTAATGTCATTTTACCCGAAATAATTCGGGTCCAGTTCGAAAGTTTTTGGTTCGAGAATCTTTGAGCGAGAGATCAGCCGAATACCGAAGCGTTCGTGGCATACATCAAAATCAAACGGTTTCTATTTATACGTTTAACAGCGTGCAGCGGCGACGGCTTCGATCGGACACCTGTTCCCATTCAAACAAACCCGAATCCTCGATTATTATTTCAATCTGTTGCATCGCCCCTACGGCTTTACATAAGCGACCGATTAAGCGAGGATATTTGTACCGTGCATTGCACCATATCAGCTTTATTGTTATTATTTTTTAAAGTCCTGTGACAAACGTTCTTTAGAAATTTGAAGGGTTAAAAGAACTCCGTAAAGTATCGCTCTTGTGGAAGATCTAGATATTAGTGGAAGCGTGTGTGATATCCACAAAATAAAGAAATTAATATTGCTCGAGGATTCGTAGCTTTGTTTCGCGATGTTGTTCGCGTGGCTATTTTTGTAGCGCAATTTCAAAATCTAAACGCTCTTCCTCCTTCCGCTTCATGACCTCAATTCATTAGATTTCTCGCTATCCATCCTCTCTGTCGTCTTTCCGTTTAATTAATGGGAATAAGTACACGAGAGACAATAGCAGGAGAGGAGAAGGAAGAAGAGTTTGTTTGGAAGATTATATAGGGTTTTTATATATGATTGTTTTTCAAAAATCGTCCAAGGATTCATGTAGGCTTCTCGTTCGGAACTTCTTCTGGCGGTTTAAGAAAAAGGAGATGCTTCTGCCGCGGTTGAATGATTAATTATCTCTTTCTTATCTTCGTTTGTATTTGTTTTGTTTCGATAATGAAGTTGTTCGAGTGTTAGGAAATACGTGTACCAAGAAAACCGAATATGGCGAAGGTATGTTTATTGTACGTAGTTCGCAAGATTATCTGTCCGTGATATCCATGATCGTTTGTATCGCGAAAAGAGGAGATAAAGAAACTAAAGTTTGTTCCAGTAGCGTTTAGCCGGTGTCTTGCATAAATGTGATCGACGCACAAGGATCGCGTAAATAAATGAACGATCGCGAGTCGCACAGAAATCCTGAACGATGGTGGGACGGGCGCTAAAAGCTTGTCAATTCTCGTCAAAAATACATGCGAGGTGCACGAAACGCGCACGCGTGTCTGCCACGGCGTGTCCTCTAAAAAGAAACCGTGCGTCCTCCAGCAGGCTAGAGCCGGCCGGTTTGTTTTCGGGCATCGAATTCTTCGGCTGTGCCTCGTCGCTGAGTTGCCCAACCTTCTCGGGAGGACATCCCTCTTTCTCTCTCGCTCGTTCGTTTTTTTACCGAGACCGCCAATTCTCGATACGCTGGTGTGCGCGTGCGCGTGTACGTGTGCACGTGAGAGCCACGTTTCGTAAGAATTTTATCGTTCCGTATTCGGAGCCTAATGCCCTTGCAACTCCTCCTCCGTAGCCTTCTATGGTTCCTCCTCCGCTGACTCTTTCGCCTGCCGCGGATCTCGTCCGTGTTTCTTCGTGTTTTCGTGGGGCCCGGTTACACTTTCCAACAAGAAAAGAAAAAAAAAAAAGAATGGACTTCCTCGGACCGGATCTGAACCGCGGTCACAGACTACAGGCGAGGGCCTTTCTGCCAAAGGCATATTCCCACTGACCTATATGCCGTCGAGGAAGACGTTCCTCGCAACCGCGCGAACCGGAATTTTGCGATTGGTAAACGACGAAGTACCACTTATGAATAAATTTTGTTTATTTCTTTTGCTATTATCGAACTCTATTTCGATACCGTAAATGTCGTTGAACCACGCGCGGGTACCATACGTAATATGCCAGAATCTTTGACGATCGACGAAGGCCAGTTACACTACGTAGCATCGATAACGATCTCCGGCTTCCGGTTTCGTTATCAGAGTGCCGCCTGAATTCCTCTTTTGTTCTCACGTGGATCCAAGCTCGATAGCCGACGTATCAAGGCTGCATCAATAAACTTCTCGTTCACCGGGAAAAGAAATACGCAATAGAGGGAACGGATGAAAAAGTGTCGATTTGCATACTTATATTCCATATAATTATAGAGGTCTTGTAATTTTGTTGATACATCGGTAGACTGTGATCACTTTATTTAAAATAATTTAATGGAAACTGGACCACACGCTCATGGACGTTCGCTGTTCTTGTTTCAGGTTAAATGGTAATAACCGACCATGTACAACCTGAATGTGAACGTGAATCCTAGTCCAATGGCTGCCGCGGGTCTTCTCGGTGTCGCGGCGGCCGAGGTCACGCCAAGGACACCGGAAATCGTAAACTCCCTAATCGCCATGACCAATCCCTTCGAGGGTTACACGAACGAGAAGAGCAGGGATCGTACGGATTCGACTAGCAGCGGTGAGCCGAGCCCACCGAGTGTTCAGCACACCTGTAGTCAACTCATTAAAGAAGGTACCCATCCGGTGGTGGCCTTGATAATTCTACCGGGTCGCGTCTCCATGGTTTCTTTTGTTTCGTCTTTCTATTCTCGCGATTCCAAGGCTGGCTCGGTCTTGTCAGCGTCTTGATACCTAATTCTGGTTTCCAAAGCCCCATTCTAGCGCGATCGTATAGTCATGGTGCTCGTAAAGGCAATTTTGTACATTAAATTGCTTTCGCGCTCATTTCGGAACTTTGTACACGTTGAACCTCGACGTCTTTCGATTGTAACACGAGGAATCTGTAGATATAAAATATAGAGGGTGTTTCGTGACGAAAATAAAATACATATACCGTACTACAATCACTTGTGCGACATGTTCACGTACCATTTGTCAATTTATGAAACGTATACAAGATGTTACGGTATGAACAATATGCGAAAATTTGACTAATCAGTTTAAGAATTTTAAAGACATTTGTTTATTATTTGAAAAGAATCAAAGTCATCTTGACTTTTTTTTTAGATGGAACTGTATCGTTTCTTCCTCTTGGTGTGGTAGAGGGCATCAAAGCAATTTTTACTGACAGTCAACAGGGACAAAACATGGTAAACGTACAATAGCTTGATTTAGTAATAGTAGATTGAATCAGTTCACTATTAGAAGACTGTCCACTACTTAGTTTGCTTCAAACGTTATGAAGATCTGTCCAATCCGCATTCGTTATGAAACACCCTGTATGTTGAGAAAATGAAAATTAATAATAGCTCGCAATACCGTATTTCTAAACTGCCATTTTCTTAATAAAATAAATTCAATTTTTCCACACGTGCAAAACACTTTTGTGAGTATATCCAGATCGGTTCGTCGTTTGTAATCCGTGCTATCACATATAATAATTTGCAGGATTGAAGTTGACGTTACAAACGAAAAGGCGGGCTAACGGAAGCGGGGATGACTCGAAGAAGAGAACGAAAAAGGAGGACGGTAGCGCGGACGACGAGGAGGAGGACGAGGGGAGCAACAACAACAACCGCGGTGGAGTAAGAAATCCTCACATACTGTTCTCGTTAAAACGATAAAACAGTCGTGACGTCGGGCGATTGCGCTGTAAGTCGGCGTTTCCATCGATTTCAAGGGTTCTCGAGCCACCGAGTCCTCCTTGATTTCCGGCCGGATATTCCTTCTGTCTTTGACTGTTATATTATAGTCAAGCACTAGCATACGTTACACTACCAACTAGTAGGGAGAAGTTATTACATGATCGTTCCACGATAGAATCTCTTTTTTTTTAATTTAAACGCAAAAACTGTTGTGACAAATACTACGGGAAAGAAGTAATTCTATAACGTGCAGAATGTTAGAAAACACCTAAGTATCGTTATTTTTATAGACACACACGTTGAGACGTAATTCGTGCTATAACTTACGAAGAAATATGGCAAAAATGGATTGTGGAACATGCGCTTACTCGACTATGTTTCGACTAATGAATTTCTACCTATGTTCCATTTGATATCGTCATGATTCACGTTCCTACATTTGTATCTCCAAATGTCCTTTCACGAATAACGTCTCCATGGTGATTAACGCCTCGCTAAAGCAAGATTAGTTTAGTAAACGCCGTGAAACCCTTCCAGCTGACACCGGAGGATGAGGAAAGGCGACGAAGGCGGCGGGAGAGGAACAAAATCGCCGCGACCAAGTGCCGACTGAAGAAGCGCGAGAAGACAGTGATCCTGGTACAGGAGTCAGAGATCCTCGAGACACAGAATCACGACTTGAAGTCGCAAATCCAAGAGCTAGAGACGCAGAGGCGCAGGCTGGTGGACATGCTGAGCCTCCATGGACCGACCTGCCTGAAACAGGGCGGTCCGGATAACTCTTACCAACAGTTCGCGGAACCCGTGCATCTGCCTAGTTACCAGGAAAACTTTGTACAACCTCCGCCAGCGTTGAATCAGCCTCAAAATTGTGTCACGGAGTACCCGGTGAAGGTGGAAGAGTACGAGGGTGATTTCTACCGACAAGAGAGCCCCTACGTGCCGACCTCGGATGCCGGTTGCACAGTTTAGTAGCTTTATCAGTTATAAGAAATTCCTGCCGCGCCATTTTGGGGAGCAATCTCCGAGGAGGTTAGGTTTACCGGTTGGAGAAGCTGCGAACACGGCTTTGCCATAGATCGGACTCCGTGTGAGGGTAAACGGAAGGTTGTATGCATTCCATGAAGACATCAGAGAGTGTGAATATCGATAACAATTGGAGAATACGTTGTTCGGAAAACGTTTGGAGAGTCTCGTGAATGTCCTTCTCGTTGGATCTCCCCTGTCACATCCCGGTAAGCCAGACTCTCCTAGATCTCCTTCCCTCCTCTGTTGCAAGTCTGTAGCACGTAAGTTGATTATAATATCATAATTTTTGCGCTCTTCTTTCTCCCTATCTATTTTCTTTAACTTTTTAAAGTAAGTTGTTCCCCTACTTCTCTTCTCCTTTCTTTTTTAATATGCTCCTTTATATTCGAAACGTTCGACGTTAGAACGCTTGAAGACATTCCTTGAAAATAATCCTTTTATTTTGACAATAAGTAACCAATTCCTTGAATATAAGTACTGTGACATTCTAAGGTATAATTAATATAATCGGTACGTGTAAGATAGAAACGAATGACTCTTGTGGTGCCCGAGATATAAGTGAAGTCGAGTCGAGTTGTTGGACGTTAGCGTATTTTGGTGATATACATATAAGGGTTCCTGGTAGAACCTTGTAAATGAATAAAAAAAAAAGTTCTCTTTAATCCCCAACGTTAAAATGAAAAAATATTCTTGGAAAGAAAATTTCACTATTGGTGCATGCTGTAGATCAACGTTGCAATCCACAACACCAAATCAAAAAATAAAAACAAGAAGAGAAAGAAAACCGAGCGCTGCCAAGGTGCTTTCGTTACCTTAAGCGAGAATCGAGAAAACCTCTTATAAATTACATCGCGTTTGGTGCCGTTATTTTTTACGTGACCATTTCTCGATTCAACAGTGAGAGAAAGTTTAACCCGTAAGCACGCAAGTCTTCTGATATTGATTATGACTATCATATTGCTACGCGATTACGAAACGCGTTCAGAGGATACTTATACTTATACGAATAATCGAATGATATTTAATATTATACATGTGCATATTTTATACAGATACATATGTTATATATTTACACTCGCAGACACGCACATATATATACACATACGCGCGCGCGTCATTAACAGTTAATGAACACTTAATTACATGACAATTAAATGTTTCATTAATGTGACAAGAGCCGAACGACATACCTCAATTTTTGTGGGTAGTTACCCTCCCTCAGTGCGTTTGCGGTGAAAAATTGATTTCCAATGTCCAATTCTACCTTTATGCAATGGCTCTGATTGTGTAATTATTGAAATTTCAATTGTTGAATCACGCAATGCGTACATCGAGTGACAGTGATGCGAGAGAATGCCAAAGAATTATTAGAGACATTGATCAGAGTAAAAAAAAAAAAAAAACAAGGTGTTATATTTTTGTTACCCGAATGTCAATGAAGGAAGAGCTTAGCAAACGCACTTTGGGCTACGCTTAAGCGTTCGTGCAATTTATGAAAGCTAGTTTAATAGTGAAACGCTTCGAGTCCACGGACTAAATGCTTTTCATTTTCGGAATGTTACCGCCAGTCGATCCAACAAAGGTGAAGATTTTTCTTGCGCTTCGTGAGTCAGAAGTCGGATAAAGTCTTCCTGTTGTTGTTCTTCTTCACAGTATGCAATTTATGTGATTAACTCATTTCTATCTAGATTTTGTACTATATACGTATACACCAACATTTTAACGAATCCAATAAGTACCTGCAACAAATACATCGCTTCTGACAGATTCCTCATATGTACAAACACGGTACTCGTTCGTTTTTATTAATATTTCTGATGGTGGGCTATGTACAAAACACAAGGTATAAATGGGTTAAACATCTACGAATGTTATGTATGTTTGTAAATGCGCAGGACAAACGTCAACACGTAACAGTCACACACGTGTGGTGCTAGATATATATATATATATTTGCTTTTTATATAAATTTTATTAAGTTGCCCGAAGAGAGTATTTAATAGTTTAATGTACATGTTAAGCATGTATTATTAACGTCTATTTACTAATTGCAGAGTTCAGGAAGTATCAAACATATTAAAACAGAGTTTATATTTATACGCAAATCTTTTTCTAATGCTAAAAACTTTAAGGATTCAGATAGTTAAATCCTTATTAATATTATCGTCGTATTGGATCTGTAACAAACTTATTGCAAACACGTATTGTCCAATTATTTCTCACATGTAATGTGCAGACTGTTTGAAAGTATTGCATTTTTAATTAAAAATATTCCGATCATGTTTGCAACATACACTTGTCAGGAATCGTGGACTAAATTTACAATTCCTTTGGAAAAGTATAATATATTTTGATAATTATGTTAGCTGTCCAATACATACTGCCATTATTAAAGTTTCAGATACTGTTGCTCGTAGTATCTGGCTTATAGGTTCATCGTTTTAGTAAAGTATATTGAGAAGTCTCTAGGGGTTAAGTGCAGAGTAACTTTAATAACAAAGTAGCAAACAGTATAAGATTTTATTCGTCATAACAAAATCGTACTATCGTCTTTTATTACCGAGTACCTGGCCATGGATTTCCATGCGACGGCTATTTTTCCTTAGGAGAAATGCATTGAATTTAAACTAGAAAAATGGCTGACGAAATTTTATCATTGTAATCTGAAAAAAAATTTTATTCTTAAAATAAAAGTGCCTTCGATATTAATATCTCTTTACAATTTTTATTTTAGGCTTGTCCTGAAGGTTGGAACAAAAAAAAAAGAACAAGGTATATCTAATACATTCGTTTTATTATAAAATTCTTCATGATATTATACACACACATTCGCATACTTCAATCACAATCAGTTCAGGACAGAATACATTATTTTATTTTATAAATAAAGGTACACAGAAGAATGAGGGAGAAATAGCCTTATTAAATGTTAATTGGACCTATTTAACATGAACCTAGGAACCCCTAAAAACATACAAAAAAATTATGTAAACACGATCACTTAAACAAAATGATTAATTATATGTTAAGATCAACACTCTACTTACACAATAATATTGTTAATTGGAATATGAATTAATTTAACAAAGAATCCTATGAAGCCCATTATGCAAAAACCAATAGCTGTGGCAATAGCGATTTTCTGGAACTCTGAGAAAGATGGCATAATAAGTTAAGAGTCTATGCACAATTTAATTACTAATCAAATTTTTTTTAATATTGCTTTTCATTCGTACCTTTTCGGTCAGGCTTTGTGCATCGTTTAACGAGACGAATACTGTCTTTCGTAAATTGACGTCCAGGTTCTGTAAGTTTCTTCACTTGATCCATTGTGCTTTTGAAACTGTAAATAAAGTAGATTCATGTTATAAAATTGGAGACACAGAAGTCTACGCGATCTAAATATACACGAAATACGTGTATCACATATGTTATAACAATATAGCAAATCACAAGCATTATATTGCATGTATCTAAATTGTCTGTAACGAAACGTAGATACCTAATTTTAAACTCATTAACAGAAAATAACTTTCAGGTTATAACGGACTTCGGTTGTTTCGTTGTTAATATGAGTTTTGATTCATTTTAACGAAGAAAACTGATTAACGAAAATACAAAAACTACTCACGTTGCTTGTGACTGGAGAACGCTTTACGCAGTGTTTGACGTACGTACGAAAAGCATTCGTTAAGATTTGAGGGCGCTACGTGGAGACTATGCTGTAAAAACGTCACTTCCTGATTACTGACGTTGGAATTCGTGGACGTAGGAGCGCGAATGCATGTTACTTCATTTCTATGAAAAAGTTAATTCCCTTGTAAAGCGCTGAATCATTAAATCGAAAGCAAGGGACGATGTACAAATATTCTATTTATGAATTTGAATGAGAGATCGATATAATGTTTAACACAAGACAACTACTAAATGATCAATTACGTTTTCATTAAACTAACGTACATCAACGAATAAGATGGATAACGATTACATTTTTGAGTATTGTACTATACACAGCAAATTATATGAAAGCTGTGTATTCGAATAAAAAGAATTTGTTTACCATCCTATCTTTAACGAATATTTAAGTACGTATTTTATTGAACAGAGCATAATTCGGTCTGGGTAATGCAATGCTACAATCTTTACAGTTAGTACAAGTTCCTAGAATCTGGTATTCTCTGTATCCGAATAGAGATCTTTACAATTAATTTGATTTAATTCCAGTGTGATATCATAAGTAATAAACTTATTATTAAGCATAACCAATCAGAAAATATTTTCTGCTTAAGATGTTCCTTAACAGGGAATACCGTTAATGCTGTTGCCTGATTAAATTCTTAAATTACCCAGACTGAGAACATTTACAGTATAGATACGCGATATACGCAATACGTATCAGCCTTAAGAATTTCTTCTTATCAGTTACCTTGACACTTGTGGTTAACCTGTCATCTGTCAGCCCATAGATAAATGTCAGCTAGTCATTGAATAGTACACTTTGACCCAAGGAAATAAATATGAATTAAGAATTGTATGCTAGGATAAAAATACCGGGCGTAAAGTTAAAGTATCGTGAAACGTTTTGATCGTTGCATTAAAGAAATATGGGTAATAGGTCCAGTCTTCTTTTACGTGAAGAAGAAATAGCGCAAATCCAAGATGCTACTGGATGTAAGTTTTATTAACGAGATACACCATCTTCGAACGCTACACGCGTTCATTATTACTCTGTTTGGTTTCTTTGGTTTTTTGTTGCAATTACTTAATTTGGTTACAGTTACACCAAATCAAATTGAACGTTTGTACAGTCGTTTCACGAGCTTAGACCGCGGAGATTGCGGTACACTGAGCAGAGAAGATTTTCTTAGGATTCCAGAATTGGCAATAAATCCTCTTGGTGAAAGAATTGTAAATGCTTTCTTTGAAGAAAGTGGTAATGATAGAGTAAATTTTTTACAATTTATGCAAGTCCTTGCTCACTTTAGGCCTATTAAGAAAAATAGTCCTAATCGGTTAAATTCCAGACAACAGAAACTGAAATGTAAGTACAATAGTGTTTGGACCATACAATATAAAAGAAAAGTCCTTGATATAATATTATATGTACTATTTTTATTGTTATTTCTAGTTGCTTTCAAAATGTATGATTTAGATAATGATGATTTAATATCAAAAGATGAACTTTTAGCTATTCTACACATGATGGTTGGTGCAAACATAAGGTAAGGGATTGGTTTCACCTTGATCTTCCAACATAGAATACTAATAATAACTCTAAATAAATTTAACTTGCTTATTTTTAGCGAAGAACAGTTAACTAGTATTGCAGAAAGAACTATAGTAGAAGCAGATGAAAATGGTGATGGTATGATATCGTTTGAGGAGTTTTGTAAGGTATTGGAAAGGACAGATGTAGAACAAAAAATGTCTATAAGATTTCTTAGTTAATTTGTTTTATTGTTTCTTCTGATGCATAACATGCTGGTATGTTGGGAAGATGTATTAAAATTTATTACAATTAATAGTAGTAAATGCAAAAGTCGAATTTCTCTCATATGACCTTATTTATTTTACATAGAAAAGAAATTGAACAGTTTAGCATTTGCCAATGTATTGAAATATTTTATATTTCTATAAAAACAGACGTAACTTTAATTAATAAAAAAAGATACGCTTGCATATCGTTATTATGGTATATAAATTCAGTAATTATTACAAGTTTTATCTTACTAATTACAGAGTCTAATGTATGATTCGTTACATGTCTCGTTACACTGTTCGCGATCTACTAAAAAAAACGACCGTGTATCTAATTATGAAAAAAAAAGTACCATTGAAAAATAAGTTACTCTATTGATAATACATGTTAAAAAGTGAACAACACGGGATATTTAAAATATGCATTACATTAATACTACGTACTTTATTTGTACACAAGTCATATCTCGACTTTGGAAAAAATAGTTGTTGAGGAATTATATTTAGTTATGTGTTTTCATTATAATCGCATAATTTCTGTATATATAAATTCTTACTGCACTTATTTTATCCTTATATCAAATTAATTATGCATTCGAATGCCGCATCATGAAATCAATAGCGTTTCTTAATTTTGCTCGCACAAAATAATTAAGCTGTTGATGACACAGCTAGTTTTTTCAAATGCTCCATAAATATTTGTAAACTGACATCATCCGTTAAGACAGGTGCTTCACTTTCCTAAATTAAAAAAAATTTTTTAGTTAGATACTGTAATCGATAATCGTTTAAGTAACAAGGAAAAGAAGCTTAAAAGTCTAATTCCCGAACCAGTGAAAGCAAAACATACAAAAAATGATAATTTATAATAGACTGTTTTCAGAGAAAATGCCTTGTATATGTACAATAATGTTAAAATGTGTAGTTCACTTTGTGCAAACTTGTTCGATAATAACACGAAGGTGTGTTAAGCGCGAGATAAATCGATAATCCAGTACCTACAGTGTTGTACAATTTCGGAGCGATGTTCGATATCTATCGAACAACGTTCGATATCTTTCGTTAGATATTTCAATATTATTAGCTGTCAAAAGATACTGTGGTAAAGAAATAAATATTTTGTTGTAAATGTTACAATAAGGTATCAACTGTTTAGGTTACTGTCCCACGCAGTTCCATTACCAAAGCAATTAAAAGCGAATGTAAAATAGAATACAATTATCAAATGAATAGAAAACACACCCCATTGGGTAACGGCATCCCCTGGTAGCAGGATCACGGTGACATAAAAAAATATTAGTAACATATGATTGGTACAAACTTGTTGTTTATGGTATATAATCGAAAATGCATATTAACTCTGTTACGATCTTCGGGACATTTTTAAAATGTACGATCGAATCGAGGAACGCAGCAGAGTTACGTCAAATGGTGTGATACACGAGGCCTAATTATGTTGAGTCGTGTACGAGACGTAATTTATTAAATAAAAATAATTCAAGGTAAACTTTACTTACCGCTCCATAAGCGAACGTGTTATTATGAGTTTGACTTGGATTCACTTTGCTAAGTAAAAACCTAGCTTGCGAACCACCTTGTTCGGTATCGATATATCTAGGCGCGGGAAATCTTCCAGCTAAAATTTCGGCAGCATCGTCAACAGGTGCAGCTAATAATTGTCGGAAATTTTCATATTCCGGTAAATCTTGGTACTTTAATTGACGCCATTGTGCAATTGTCTGTAACCAATCGATTAATATCGAATCGTAATCGAATCCTTTGTTACATTTTATCAAAAGCAATAACAAATAGATTACCTCTCCATGGAATATAAGTATTTGGAAGAAAGTGTCCATCAACAAAATTCTGTCAGGTTGAATGGACGAAGTATCTAATAAAACGGCCTCTGGGGGACCACTGAATCCATAACTGTATAGGATCGGTTGCACCATTATTAAAGAATTCGTTAAATCTTCCCGCATGAGCATGTGTCTGTAATATTAGATTTAATATTCGATTAATAAGGCTTTGATTTATTAGAACATACAAGCGCGATAGTTTACCTGTAAAAACTGGTTTCATCAGGGGAGTTGTTGAATACTTGCAAGAATTGTGATCTACGTAAGTGATACATAAATTGGGGATATAAGGAAAAGTTTTCCGCAAGTCTGAAGCTATTTGGATCGTCTTTTGTATACTCTCCGAACTTTTGACACTGTAAGGAAAATGTTCGCAGATATAAGAATTATTTCTAACGCACATTCTGTCAATTGCATGTTTTAGAAAGAATACCGACTAGTCTGATAAGCATGCGATCAACCCATCTCAAAATATCCGGTCCGTCGTCGCTTTCTGCCTTAAATACTGCTAGTCGCGACATAAGAACAGTAGCTGCTTCTTGATCAAATCCAGCGCTTATATGATGCACGGACGTTGACGCATCTGCCCAACTGTAATTAGAAACATCATGATATCGAACTCGGTAATAACGTTTATCAGTTTTATATACCATTTTATTTACTTTCTGGCGATTGTAGTAACCCTGATTCTTCGTTGACCGCTACTATGTTGGTATTGGGTAATAAACTGTATGCAACCTCTTCCACCTTGTGGAATTGGAGCAGTGTGTTGATTCACAACTTCGAAAAACAATGCTGTGGTCGTAGAGGGCGTAAGGGAACAGAATTTCCATTGAGTCGTACCACCTAATCCTACTTCTTGCTCACCGATACTTGCGCCTTTCACACCCAGAGAAACGCAAGGGCCGATCGCTCCAGAAACTTTTATTTCTCGAGACGTTTTTACTTCTAATATCGCGTTAAATGCCATTTTCAAGTCACCTTTATTATCCTTAACGAACACGCGTTGGAACGTCTGTTTAAATAGAGAGGAATTAAAGGAATCACCCATAACCATGTGACCGCCAGTCGAATTGCAGCACTGCCTCATTTCTAGCAGGCCGGTTTGATCGAGAGCACATGAGTAGATATCTATTATGTGGCCATTGGTTGCTGCCCGCGATGCGAGAGCATCGTAGTGTTTAGTCGCCTTCTTCATATGCTTGGCATTATCTTTATGGATATCATGATGCGATCTAATGGGTAGTCTCAAATCATCCGTTACAACCTGACCAGGCCCTTGAGAACAAGGTCCGCCGATAAACAACATTATTCTAGAAACAGTATCAGACATTCGTTCGCTTCTAAAGATAGCTAAACAATAATTACAGTGATGCCTTGGAAATTGGCCGATTACTTTCCCCGCCAGTTCTTGGAACTGGCTTCCCGCTTATATATCGCCCAATATCCTAGGCATGTGTTACTGTATATGTAAAATCTATACCTAGCTCCTGTATTAGCATAACTAGCTTCCAAAAGATCAGTGGCAACAGCCAGCGCGACACCGGTAGATCGCAATGGACGTTTTCCTGGGCCTATGGGCCATGGATCGCGTTGTAGTTCTCCTAGAAGATCCGTTAAACTCATGTCACACTTATGGACAGGTTGTAAGAAGCGATTTGCTGGCGGTAACGGTTGTCCACCAGCTGCTCTCTGTTGGTTTAGATTTTGTCCTGGTACTAGACGACCTATGCCTATAATAATAACGAATGAATATGCTCTGTCGTTTTGTTTTTTTTAAGCAAGTACAGAACGTACCAAGCATATCTTGAACTTGTTTTGGTTGTAAGTCCTTAGTACCACGAAAAACGTAACTTTTACTACATCCCTCGCAACCCAATTCGTGAACTTGTACCATTCTTCCGAACGTAATAAGACCGATAAGAGCGTTCGGCGGAAGTAAAGAAAGCGACATTTGTAGCGAATCTTTAAGAGAACCGAGTTCCTCGTCGTCCATACACGTATCCACAACCAATAAGAAAATGGGTGGCAAACACTGTGCTCTCTAAATGAAAATAATAGACATAAGTAACGCATTCATAAAAAAATCAATTTTAAAAATTCTGTTACTTTAGATTATAAATATTTACCATTATAGTATATTCAATTGTTGAAAACATTGGAATAAGTTCAGCTGGTTGGTGTTGCTCAGAAATGGCAGCATATTGTGGAGGGAACTGAAAATTTTAGATAACACAAATATATGTTTATTACATAGAAATGATCACGTTTAATTCGTAGATAAAAATAATTTCATTCTCACAGGATTTCTTTGAAAGCACAGATTGCACACCCATAGTTTAGCACGGTAATCCACCTGACATAATGGATTTAAAATTGCTCTACAAGTGGATCTTGTACATAAAACTGGATCATATTGTATAGAGGGAAGATCTGGTCTTTCTTTAATAGGCTGGTACAGTGTTCCCAATGGTACAACCAGTCTTGTGGCATCAACACGCGAGGATGGCCAGACATTCCATGTGAACCGTACACCATCACGGTCTTCATTTTGCTGAATGAAATCTTCGTAAGTAGTCATGTTGCTGGAATCACCACAGACCATCTGACAACAGATCTAAACAGTATTTAATTCACAGTTCTTAAATATGTAACAAGTGATACACAGTATGACTAGCTATTGTAGGTTACACTTACCTGAGCGAATTACCACGTAATTATCGCGAATAGTCGATTTTGTTATCGAAACTATTTGAAATACTTTCCACTACTAAATTCTCATAATAGCGGCATTATTTTATAAACGAATCCATATAGCACAATCGCACGTTAACAGCACGACTCGTGCCGTCATTGAAGCCACGTCACTTGGAGGCTTGGAAGAAATAGTATGGCGCATGTGTCGAACGTTTTTTAATGTCACAAACTACATTTGAATAGAAGTCTGCAAGCAGGTAACGAAATTTTCGATAATTTCTTATAGACTTGTAACACAACGTTACAGTACTTTTACTGTTTCTATTTCTACGTATCAATTGTTGTCTTAAACATATTCGTATAAGTTTTAAAGACGCCTTTTAGACGTCATTTGTTACAAACGAAAATGTCCTTAAGATGTGTTTTTTGCATCGTATCTAGGCAGTAAACAGACATTACTAGGCGTTTTTGTACCGTATGTTTAAATTTTATTAAATAGTGTACAAATTGTTTACAGTTTTTTTTCGAAGTAATTAAATTATCGATACAATATCGATAAAGTGTCGTGTTTAGTACGTTGCATTCTGTGTAGGAGTTCGTTGCATGCTGTGTAGGAAGTCGGTAGACAATTAATATCTTTTAAAATTCTCTTATTTTTTCAAACAAATGGTGTAATAGATTTAGCTTTCAATATTTCGAAAAATCGGTAACACGTGAAATTATTAAATTGCTTCTCAATTATTAAGAAAAATGAAAATATAAAAAATCCAACAAATTCAACCCCGATGATAATCGTAATGTTCTCGAATATAGAGGACTCTCATTGTCTCATTCAGTCGATTCGCGTGGTAGCAAACGACGCAACGTGCCACTGTTAGATCACAATGATCCAGCCTGATTAGGTGAGAATTAAATAAAATAGGAGGCCTTCCGCGTTTCTTTTTAATTAAAATTGATGTTTTTACTCGTTTCTTCGTTCTTATGCCATAAAATTTCCTTCAAACATAGTTTGGTCCGTTTGCCACAAGATGGCTGCCATTTTACTGCCCACGTTCTTCGTAAATAGTTTTTTCGATTCAAGAATCGGAGTGTTATTTATTAAAAATATATCGTTGCATTTCAAGATTGAATATCGGTACATAGGGTACACGTAAGTTAGACACGGCGAGTCTTACGACGTAAGAACTGTTAGCAGTTCCACGATATTTTAAGTTCATAATATGTTATTATTCTAATGAAAAAATTTGCATATAATATTTATCGTATTATGTTGATATATATAACTAATATATCACATATTGTATTTAAGCGATATGTACATAAATGTATTAAACAATTAATGAGTAGTCTCTCAATTGAATTAATAATTTGTTAGAAAGTTTAAATAAATGCAACCAGTAGATGTCTAAACGACAAGAATTAATGGACATGCGTGAACAATTCGGCTTAACGAGTTTTCAAAAGTTGAAAGACAAGGATCGAGGTGTTATCGAACAAATAATCACGTTCCGTGTTTGGGAAATGGTAGGGATCCATTCAACCAATCAGGCGCGAATTGATAACGACCGATTCTGAATAGACTAACGGGCTGAGTGTTTACTGTCCGTATTTATTATTGCTACACTCGTGTTGTAGCGTAAGTTGTTAGTCGAATTTGTCCGAATTGCGAGCCCGGTGTACTAGAGTCCGCCTAGCGGCACGAAATTTCATAAAGCCTCCATGTCATGTACGTTGCGATAGTTGATTCGCGACTAACCTCTCATACGGTATAGACCGTTCGTAAAAATGGATAAAAGGTAAGATGCGAAAGGTACTGCATGAATCGCTCGATTTGCGATCGCTGTTCTATTCAACGAAAATGAATGTTCGTTAGATTGGACGCATCAAGGTCGGGGTATCGCGAGGATATTTCTAGCCACTCCAAAAAGACTAAGAAACGATCTAGTAGAAGGAGCAGCGCGTTTGGCCCTTGGACAAACAACACACAAAATAGTCAAAACAATGATATACCATCCGGTGTGGAGTATCAACACGTATTGTGGCAATCAAACGTGCAACAAAATTTTCCAAATAACGGGCAAAGACTGTTTGCAACAACATCAGATCCAAGTATGTGCGGTTATGGCCAAGTTCCAATGACATACACCATGGAACCTGTCTCCCTGCCAGCAATGTATAGGTTATACCAGCCAGTCCCACTGTCTGGTGTCAGGACTGATCATGGCAGACCAAGGCGGTATTACAATCAGAACCACCCAATGAATTTAGGCATGAATTCCGTGGCAAACGGTTATTCGAGTCTGCAAGAGAATGGTTTAGAATCTCCTATACCTGTCAACTATCAAAATGGAGACTATGCTAGTCTGCCACCAACTGCTAACAAAAATAATGGAATCAACGGAGATGAACTAGCTTCCGAGCACAGAAGGTATTCTGATCCTGGCCTTGGGTCTGCGGAGGCTCCAGTTCATACCCAGAGCGAAGATTCCGACAGTCTTGAAAGTGGAAGTTCTATTACAACCATTGGACGTAGCAATAAACTTGTTCTGTCTCTTATCGAACAGGTTTGTATCGCTTTCATAAAATTACACCATTGTATTTAAAAGGCATTAAAAATATCTGATACATTATATTGTATTGTTTTCAGATGACAGAATTGAAAAGAAGCAGTAGCCAACTGTTTAAAGAATTAAATGAAACAAAGTCTGAATTAGGTAGCATGAAGGCAAAATTGGCACAGTGTAAATACAGTACCTCTTCTGATTATCAACCGGGAATGTTATCTGGTAAATATTTGCAAAGATTTGTAATTAATTTTTCCGTATTAATAATTGAAACTTTCCGTATTAACGATTCGTAATATTAATTGCACTAATCGATTATGTATTTTTCAGATCTTATTCGGGAAATTAGGCAAGCTAACAAAGCATGCGAAGAAGGATTGGTCGCAAATGTAAAATCTATCGTGGAAGAGAAGCTAAACCAGAGGTCGTTAGAAGTGGTTAACTTAAACGTATGTATTTATTTTCTATAATCATTTCTATATCTATAAATACAGAATACCTCTCGGTAAACTATAGATATTAAGAACTATATAAATAGCATGAGTTTACGTTATATATAAAGAAGCCTGTATATCGTAGTACCAATTCACTCCTAAAATAATAAATGTAAAGCACTTGGAACTTTCCCCTACGTTCGTTCCTGTTTGTTTTTGTTAGATAAACTTTATCTCAGATCAGTGATTCGTACTGTTTGTTTTAAACGCAATTAATCGTACCGTTATTCCAGTTTGGTACGACCGAAAATATATTTACATCGTAAATAAATGCATTTCATCCCATCGCATCTTTTTAGATATCTGATCGTTCGGTTAGAAAAACTTTGAATTTTTTAACGAAGAATAGAACTTCGACTCGAAAGATAGAGAACGTGGGAACGGAAAACAAAGCGCGTAGAAAGCTAGGTATCCTCCTTTCTCGACTTTGCAGTTAGGGTACAGTAATGTGCCGCCTCGACCCGACGCTTTCGGCATTTTCACGTCGCGGTCATGGACATATTGTTTGCGTAGCATTCGTACGCTCTGTTTGATTAGGACGGCCAGGTGATCTTCGGTTCGCCCCTCTCACCTTCTCCTCTTTTACAATTTTTTTCCCTCGATTATCATCTGCACGCGAATTTTCACCAATCAAGCCCCGCTGCATGCGTTTTCAGACCTTGTTGAACATCGATTTCCTGTGTAATATTGATCCGCGTTCTTACTAAAAATTACACTCGAACGACCGGTTAATTAACCACTTCAACGAAACGATTCATTCGTGTATTATATCTTGGAAATCGTCGGTTCTATCCTGGGTAATATTATTTTTCCATAAACCTTAATTACTATCTTGTTAAACAGGAAGTAAGTCGAATTATTATTATTTAATTAGCCAAGTTTCACGGTTAGATTTCCAATCGAGCTGAAAAATTGACTCGGTCTCATAATTGGGAGTCGAACATCTCTGGCGGTAGGACTCGACGGTTGATAAAACCGGTTGATACCGGAGAACCTAATGTAGACGTAATACGAAATATCCGTGACGCGGTAAAAATGATTAGGTTTCACATAAGGGTGCTCCTACGGGGGCAAAAGTGTTCCCTTACGAATAGGGGGAGGCAGAGGGGCGAGGAAGGGTGAAGGATGAGGCACTTAGCGGCTGTCACGGCCTCTCCCTTGGCCTCCTTCCTTTCCCTCTTTCTCCGGTCTTCTCGGGTTTCAACCATCCATTAGCCTCATCAGCCGAAGCGATGGCCGCCCGCGCCATGCTGCCTTCCTCGCGTTGCCAATCTCGTAATTGAACCTTCGGGACTTTCCACTTTCGTGCATGTAAATTTTGCTCCTTATCGGCGACGCCCGATGGAAAGTAAGTACGTTTCGACGCGTCTAAAGGACCGTCGCGTCGCGAAATTCGTGTCGTCCAGGGATATTTATTCACTGTTCGATACATAAATCTACGTCGGGGATAAAAAGAAAATTTTATTCTTTATATGTATATATTTTAAAAATAGAATTCACGGAGGCGCACGGCCAAAGACCGCGAAGTTGTAAATCGTTATCAGGTAAAAATTGTAGGTTGCAATGTAAATTGTTTGATTTCTTTTGAAATCAGTCGCAGCCTTATCTGCGCCATGTATTATTGTCTCCCTTATCTGTTATCTTTATCCTCGTTTTCTTTCGATGAGAGAAAACCAAGATCTACAGCTATTGTCGAGCAAAAGTATCGTCCAACATCTGTCGTTAATTACCGTACAATGCTTTTACTTAACGCACAATTTAATATTTTTAAAATAATGGTTTTACGAAGACTACGATGCGTATCCTACGCAATTGCTGAAAGATGCAATTGATTTGTCTGTTTTAGAGTCAGATTCTGAAGTTGACGGAGGCGAAAGAGGAAAGCGAGAGGCGTATCGTAAAATTAGAGGAGGAGGTGGCTACGCTAAAGCTGAACGCAAAGTGAGTACTCTTTTTATATACGTATTGTTTGGTTTGGTTGTTAAAAGTTTGGGCGATGAATGTAGATACTCGGGGATTTTTTTTTATTTATTTTTTTACTTTTTATTACATACACAATTTTGGTTGTCGTTTCACGCGTTGATATTGCGTAGTACATATTTTGCACAGAACACGAAAGAGTTCGCATAATTTGTAAATGAACGACCAATAAGGTATAACGATCAATAAGAACATTTTTTTTTAAAGAATATTATAATATATCTCATGTTTATAATACGTGTTTCTAATAATTGTTGATATATTCTTTCAAGGTCCATAAATTTTTGGTCCAATATCGTCTTAATCGCAGAACAAATTGTACAAAAATGTCCACATTTATTAGTTAGTTGTGTGTGTAGTATCATTTTTATGACTTTATTACATATACCCATCTATTTTTCCTACTTTGATATCCCGCTTTACATGTTTATCGTTTTTAGCAACACAAAACGTTTCATTCTACCAATTTATCGGAAGAATGACATATAATAGAATATTATGCAATATCTTTAAAAAACGAGTAATTATGTACATTCTTTTAATAATCGAATAATTATTTCCATTCTATCATCTGCAATTTACAGAAAATATATGCGAAGAACAATAATTTAACTCGAACTATATTACGCGCGTTATTTCCACAAGTACATTTTTTTATTTCTTTACCGTTTATTCCTCCATTCTATCAACTTCAATCCATTCACAGAGGCGCTTCGAAATCACAATCCGCCTATATTCTTAAAATCAAATTAGTTATTACGTTTGCCTAACACGCTATTTTATTACTCTCCGTTGAATCGAAGATTCCACGAAAGCTGTTGACGTCATCAGCTTTTTGCGCCTTTTCTTCTTTCCCACCTGCATTTTACAACTTACCTAATTCACTGACGAAGGTGCTTCAGAACCATAATTCGACTTCACCTCGAAACACTGTCCGCATCTCTGTTCTCGCATTTTGAAAAATCCCTCAGTTTATAATTTCGGTCCAGTCCGGAAGCCGCTTCTAACCCAGACCTAACCCAAAAGCTGCAACTCGTCTCCAACCTTCGAAATTTCGCTTCTATTTCCTTGCACCCCTCAAACTGACCACCTGAATTATCCGCATGCCGGGTACACCGTCCTGCATACAGTGGCGGCTAAACTAGCAAAACCAGTGGCTCGTTAAATTCTTGGAAGGGAAAATCCTTGGTCGGAACCTCGTAACAGGAGGTTCATATCTTTGCAAGTTTCCCAAGACACGATACACGGTTTCGAAATGAAAGTATGACTCGTATCTAAGCGAATGGCCGCCACTGTACATACACAGAACACACGCACCGTGCCGGAAACATCCTATCCTCATGTCTCTGGCGAGGTGACAATTGTATAAACGGTGGACTTGTATTGGCACTTAGCAACGAAGGTCGCGAGATCGCAGCCTTCGAGGAAGAGACACTGGCCCTGCGACGAGAGCTCCAGGAGGCGCGGGCGTCGAAGACCCTGGCCGAGAATCACGTGGCAAAGTGCGTAAACGCAAGATCAGTCACGCCTGTATCTTTCGAAACGCCCTACGTAACCAGCACCCCCGTGCGTACCGCTCTATCCGACACCTGTAGCCTGGTCCCAGCCCTGGTCGTAGCCTCTTCTACAACCACTACCACTACCACTACCACTACCACCACTACCACTACCACTACCAACACCACCACCTCCGCCCCCACAAACTTTACCTCGTTTCTGCATTCCCGAACCGCGGAGCTGGCACACCATTTCATACCCGAGAAGCCGAGTCTTTACCGAATCGCTGATTGTAGTCTTGCGTCCGTCGACGCGTGGACCGTGGACGATAACCGTGGTCCGGTCTCCAGCACGCAGTCACCGAACGATTTGGATCGCGAGGACGGGACCCTGGAAGAGATATATAGCCCGACATCCGCGGAGAACAAGGCGGAGAACTCCGGGCAGGAGGATGAAGTTACGGACGCCAAAGCCACCGAGGACAACGTCGATCGGGTTTACCAAACGAACGAGGAAGAGGTCAGAACCGAAGACGACAAGGTGGATCCCGCGCGGTGCAAGAAAGAGGTCAACGAGGAAACGATGATGGCCAGAGGGCCGGAGAAGAGGGTGAAAGGTTGTTCGAGGAACGAGCCGAGCAAGAAGGAGGACGAGATGCTGCGCGGGCAGAAAGGGGCGTCGAAGAAGTCTAGGAAAAAGAAGGGCAACGCGACGAAGCGGTCGTTGAACGAGGCGGGCAAGTCAGCGTCCGAGGTCGCGAATGGTATCGCGGCGAGAGACGGTGGTAGCCGGAGAACGGTGAGCGAGGACGAGGATCGTCTCGATGACTATGAGACGAGCCGAGCCATCACCGAAATCCCGGAAGTGACCGTAGTCGGTGGTGGCTCCTTCATCTCGAAAGACCTCTGCTCGACGGGAATCCTGACCTCCAGAGTCCTGACAGCACCTTCACGCGCTACCTACACCACCGCCTACATTTAGGCTACGTACGCGCGGGGCCCCGAACAAAACGCAAACCACTCGTCGCCGTATCGCAAGGGGGGCTTCAAGGGCTTGCTAGAGGCTACTACTATGTACATGTCGAATAGCACGTAGGTCTATCGTTGTTTACTCCTCGAGTATGCTTCGTGCGACCCTGTTGGGCTCATGGAACGCTTGGTCCCTGGTTTCGTCTACCCATACGGTTCGCCCGAAACTAGACCTTTATTATATTCGCGATCGATTCTTTCCGATATCCGGCACTACTTTATTTTCAAACCTCCTGCAAATGCAAAATAGAAGTAAACGTGTAGCAATCTCTATACACAAATAACGTAGATGTTTGATCTGCAACTGGATCGTTTGCGTCGATCAAGCCTCGGACCATTGGCTAAACTATGTCTCTCTCTCAAGACTCATCTTCTTGAGCGCAAAGTACGAGAAGAGTTTGTGTTTTTGAGGAAACATTCTTTAAGAAATTATATTCTGAACGATTCACCACCGGCTTGGGGTTTCGCGATCAATTGTAGTGTACATTTTTAAGCGGGAGGGGCTGTAATTAACGATTCGGAGAACGTTTACGAAGAATTTTTTTTTAATTTATAACTTCAAAAGTTTCTATTGTATAGTTGTAATTGTATATTATTTATAATTGGATGAAACGCGATTGGCCACGCAAGGTTAGCTCTCCGACTGTGAATCTTTCGTTCGAAACACAGAGTCTGCTTGGAGATTTGCTCGAAGAGAGACGGGCCCAGTTTTGGATAGTAAAATGTTCGTGATCCTGAACGTTCCATTGATTATGGCTCGATTGTAGAACGATTCGTGTTTGTATATTTGAGTAGTGTAAATTATGTCCTTGTTTAGCGGTTAGCATGGCTTCGCAGTTTTGTCTAGCATGCGTTTAGTTTCCATGTTTCCTTTTGTATTAAATGTCCCGCTCGTTTCTAGATCCTTTTGCGCGTAATCGTGCGTTTGTCGAGGAATCGTATATTTTAAATATTCTTCAATTACCCATTCGTTCTGGTTTAGACATATTTCTCGATCATGTTTCGTTACGAGGGAATCTATTTTTTTATATGGTTTTTATGATAAGATCGAATGAAATTAAAAATGACAAAATGACCGATGGGTTTCTTAACGTATCTTACAGTTGGACAAATTTTATTTGCGAATAAAATTTATTCGACTCTATTATACAGTATTTTTGAAAAAGTAACCGTAGGTATCCTCTGCTACTTTTGATGGAAACCTTAGAATTTTATATTTTGAATTTAATTATAGAAAACATACGCTTTACGTAGATATAAGAACGAAACAGTGAACACGACTGATTAGTGACGAAAGTTTTATTGTAAAATATTTTACAATAATCTCGAAGACGCCAGTTTAAGAGTCCCGCAATGCATTCAATGTTTTCGACCATGTGAATCTGTCTTGTATTTTAACCGTCACGGGAGAAGCATTATTTATAAGCATCACTCTTAAACGTAGGTATTTAGTACGGAAATATTCTTCTCTTAGATCGTCGAGGATGGAAACGATAATAATATACCGTTATAACGGAATATTATGTAATGTTATAAAAATCATTGTTATTTTAAGCGATCGTTAGTGTATAAACTCGATTCAATTATGGAAAGCAGTCGGAAATAGCAACGAGCATATTTGCCGATCCAATATTGTACGAGGAACGGACTCGTTCTTTTTTTTTCTCTTTTTTTTTCAGCGATCGACGAGAGTTTGTACGCATCAATTTAATAAATGATCAAATATTATATTAATTTAATGTTTTTGTAATCGTCGCGTCCCGGTTGAAATTGAAATTTTCTTTCTTCTGCAGTTGTCACTCCATAATAGTGGAATTTCTGTCTCGAATTAATCGCTGGCGCGGTAACGTCGAACATCGCGACGATCGGAAAATAGATTCTCAACGTCTCTATTATCGTTAAAAATAAACGAGGGAAAAGGAATATACGTTCGAACCGCGTTCTCGGCGATCTATCAAGCTTTATCTCGTCCGAATGAACTCCACGTCACCTATCCTCGACCACCTCCACCTTAAATACCCTGCACAAAGTCCGCTATTGGGTCAGGGAAACCGAAACCGCCTGGTGTTCTTTCTGTTCTTCTAGCTGGCAGCATGGCTGGCAGCATGGCTTTCAGCTGAAACTGTTGCTTTTGCCGCTTCTAAAGACCGTATTACAGAGATTCCTTTGGGCCGATTAGCGGTGGAGGCTCGCTCGAACGCATGTAACGTGAAACAAACCGTGATTTGTCAGACTGGAGAAGCTGCTGGACATTCCGCGTAATAAGGTGATCGGTGACACGGACGAGGGAGTCGCTGGTGGCCCTAGTCTGACGAAGGCAAAGCGTGCACGGAGTGCCTCCTCCTCCTCGGAGGACGAACAGGACAACGGGGAGAAGCAGCAACAGGACGAAGAGGACGACGGTGACGTGGACGACCATTCGGGGCAAACGTTCAGGGAAAAGGGCATCGATCGGTTGACGGTGTTGGAGAACGGTATGAAACTCTCTGGACCCGTCACTGATCTTTAGCCTGGTTGGTTCTTGCGTCCAACGCGTGTTTATCGATCACAAAATTGTTTATTAGCCGTCCAACGACCCGCGCTGGAGAATATCGATCGTTTAGCCGCGGCTAAGGACGCTGTTTAATTTTTCAGCTTGATGTTCGTAGGTCTAGACCTTTTGTTAGTTGTTCGAGCACGCGGGAGAAACGATTGTTGCAATTCCTACGAGCGTCAATCTTTCTAGATCCACGATACTTGAATAAAACGTTCGAGGAATAGATTTTGTTAAATTTTTTGGAACCTGTTCATGGTTTTTAGGCTGAAGAATGTTTGGGCCTTTGGAAGAAAGGCTATGCTTGTTTTGTTGATTAGCGATCGTTAGGGTTAGATGATGTTCTAGATGTGGATCTGATCTGGAGTAGTACCAAACTCTTTGGATCTTATAGATACTCTGTTGATCAATTTGGATAGCAATTTTTTACACTGTTGTGTTCGGAGGAACTCGTCTAGGAATGTTTTTACACGATGGATTTCGTGTTGTCCATAATGTTTAAGAGATCTGTTTGTTGGAATCGCTTCTTTGATTATTTTCCCACGCGGAGGATCGAATTTAGATGTTTTTAATATGTTTCGCGTAGAATGAAGGGCATGCCACGAGGAAGCGTATTCAATTGCATTGAATCGTTTGGAAAATTCATGGTACTTAAAGGTTAATGATTTGCTGCTAGGGATTAAGTAATGTACCTAACCGTACGAGCAATTAGCGTTAAAATTTTGTATATGGAAGTCTTCTTGTCTGTAACCTTTAAATAATTGCATGGCTTATTATGCATGCACGATAATCGATAATCATGTTACTCTTAAATATTTTCGAAATGAAACGTAAGAAGACGTTCAGAAATATCGGATACCGGGGAAAGTTTGTGTGTGAGTTTACATTAGAATCGTCAAATATAATTGTTGAAAACCTCCCATTCGACATTCGTTATCTGTTGCAATCTCGTTTGACGATGATTTTAAAATAGTCTCGTTGCAAGAATCTGACGATGTCAAGTATTATTTGCACGTAATACTCGTATTTTTCGTTTTGTGTTGTTATAAATAATTTTTCGAAGGTCCTCGGTGTATACGATAAAGTATATCCAACAGTTACTGAAGAAGCAACTATTTACATAAAAATGGATCGGAGAAGACCTTAAGAAGTTTAGCACAGTTGAAATATTGCAGCTAAAAATATTTCGAATATATTAATGTTCCTCTTGTTGCTTTATTCTTTCATTTATTTTCGTTACGTTAGACTATTATTCCTCGATTAAGCGGAAAAGGGTTTACAGTGCACTAGCAATATCGATTCTCACGTACAATTTAGAATATTATTATATAATACATTATATACTCAGCATCATACGATATCTAGAGAAATAATAGCTTTTAGAATATATACATACAGCGGTACTGTATTTCTCTTCACTCTCTTTATTTTCTTTGACGTATTGAATAATGTTCGCTACCACCAAATTCCAACAGAGTATAATTTTTCTGTAGCTTTCACAACTCACGATGTGCAACGACTTTGATGTCATGTTTTTGTTTTTCTATAGGTTTCTCGTTGTCTTAAAAAATCCCCAGTTTCTAATAACGAAAAGATATATTTTTTTAAGGTAGATAAAATTAAGGTAAATAAAACGTACATGTGTATGCACGTAGAACCTTAAGATCGAGCAACAAGATTTTCGTAGAATTAAAATTCCTCGTGGAAAGCAGTATTTTCATAAAGTAAAAGTGATATTACTTTCGTCCCTGAGCGTTGGAAAATATTTCCTACGATTTACTTTCTATTTTTTATATCCTATACACGAACGTAGCAGAGAGCGTGAAGAGTTAGCTGCAACGATGAACAATTTTGTTTATCGTTACGGCAATTAAAATGATCGGAGGATTATCTACACGATCTATTTATCGCTTTCAATTTTCTACACAGTATACAGAGCGTTCCATATTCGTAGAATAAAATTCAAACTCAAATTCCTCGCGGGGAAATACATCGAAGTTTCAGTGCCGTGTTCTATTTTCGTAAAAGTTTTTCTAGTTCGATCAAAGGATTATTGGTATAACTCGTGTATTTCTTAGTTTTTTAATTATTTCTTTAAGAACATGTACGATCGATCGTGCGTCGTAGGGCGAATTAGTATCGTTTAATTAAATCGATTCGCAATAATGTAATTATATGCGTATTTCAGAATGACAAGTAATTTATAAACAAAACGAACGAAACCATGAAAATATTTAGCGATTAATAGTATACGAGAAACTGTAAAGAACGAACTACGACGAAGAGAATGTTAAAAGGTTAACATAACGTTTTAGTTTGTATTTGACATTGAATTCTGATTTTCAAAAAATAAAGAACGAGTGTTCGTTCAAATTTATATAGTCGATAAAATGGCTTTTCATTAAAATCTCATCGGTCGAGGAGGCATTTAGTAATCAATTTGCAATATCTGATAGTTGCTTTGTTTAATCGATTTACTATTATTTTGTTTCCCGTGTATTTAAAATATTTTGTCTCGTGAAGCCTCTAATCGCTATTTTAGCGATATTTAAATTTTAATTAAAAAACTGACTCGCTCATCAAATTTCTATCAGCGTATTAATATACGAAGATATCGAAGCAATATTTCAAATTAAATCAATTTTTTAAAGTCAACTCTTTGCAACATTTGATTTATATATTTTTATAAGATATATAATAATAAGGTACATAACAATAATGTCTTAAGAATGAGACATCTAATGATTGAGTTTTGGTGATAAAAGAAAATAATGAAAATTTGTAGAAAACCGTAAGTTCCAATAGATTACGGAATATTGAATTATGCGTAAAGAATAAAGTCTTTAGGGTAATGATATCGCGTATAGATACATATAGGTAACTCGGTCTTGTACGATTACACGATTCTATGCAATATCGATCACAGACGAATCCACTGTGCATATAGCTCATCAGATAATCTTAAAGTGCCATTAAATCGCGCGTGATCCTCAGGTTTACATTACACATTTTCTATTACATCGACAAATTATAATAATCGGTAGCTACGATCCACTAAAAGTGTCCTTTGTATTGCGAATAGTTTACCGGGTATCTTCATAGTTAAGTTTAAGCCGTTAGAAGCGTTAGGAGAGTGTAAAGTTTGCGTACTTCTGCGTTAACATTTTTATAGTTCGTAGCTATTTATATACTGTTGACCGGTGGTGAATTTATTACCGCTCGTTTACAGTTCAATTATTACACACAGCCCGTGTAGCGAGACATTTCAAGTGGTTTGTTTTAACAAATAAGTACTTACCGTTCGTCGATATTGTATACCTATATTCTTGAGACTTTAATAAAATTGAAATACACGATAAGGTTGGACAGCTTTCCCATTTATTTTAACAGTAATTCGTGTACAATTGTATTTATATCGAGGTCTCGTGCATAGGATATCAGTGAGCTAAGTTGCTAACGATGGAAAATCGAAAAAAGGTGGATCAAAAGAAGGTAATTATTTTCGAAGGCCGTCGATTCGATCGAAGCGAATAGAACGTTAGTAATCCAGCTGCTTCATTAAACCGCAACGTTCCCTCTGCTCATTTTTTCGGAGACTCGAACGAGCGAAGCAATGTTTTCTTTCTGTCGCCTCTCGTTCGCGTATAGAGCGTTCCAAGTGTTGTGATTAGCGGAACGCGAAAGATGTTATTCTTGTGTACGGATGTTTGTCTTTTCTGTGCAGCCTCCCACGAAGATCGTCTGAAACAGTGAAAGGCTCGATATATATCGACGGTGGCGACGATGATACCAAAACATTGTTTCGTCTCTGCCAGAGATAGCAATCGGAGAGTACAGAATGTTTCGGAATTATGGCCGCAGACTCGACCGAGTGGGAAAACTCGGGGAAAGTAGAAGCGTCGCGATGCTCTGGCGCCGCGAAAAGCATCGATGGACGGTCGAAAAGCAGAGGGTCACTCGCGTCTTGTTTTCGACGTCCGTGTTCCGGCGTGAACGGAACGACGCGGAGGAAATTGCGTCAGTGGCGGATCGATGAACACGTTGAAAAAGATGGCAGGTGGTGGCTGAGCGCGGACGATCAAACGCCTCGAATTGGCAGCGATTTCTCGACCGTACTACGCTTCCTGCTCCCCCATCAAGTCAATTTTAATAATACTACCCCGGTTCGTACGCCTTCGTGCACGATGACTCGCACGATTTTCCGACGGGTTTCAATTATCCGCACTCCCACGGCCCGCTACTCCCACCCACCCCCGCCGCGAAATATCGATCCTCGAACGCCGCCGTTGTAACCGCGTACTGCCGGCGGAAATGGGTGGAACGAGAAATTACGTTACAGAACCGAGTCTACGACTGTACAATTAGAATCATCGAAAACGAATCAACAATTTCAAATTCCCTGAAAGACATACCCGTCCGACGCGATCGCGTTTAGAAGGTCGTGGACGCAAAAAATTTTAAAAGGGACAATAAAACTAGCCGCGGCAGGGAAGAAATTTCACCCGAAAAAATCATCGAGCCTCTTTATAGTCATCTTTCGCGTGCAAAAATTGCGCGTTTATTAATTGGTTGGTAGGGCTGCTCCGTATTTCGAAAACGTTGCACGGTGGTTTCCGGGCGTCCAGTCTCCGGCGCATTAGCGCAGATAATCGCGGTATTACGAGAATCGGGGATAGGTTTCACGAATCCTCGCTGTCTTGCAATAAAAATCTAGTAAGTACCTGTGCCAGGTAAAAGGGCTCGCTTGATATTTTTTTGCGGACCGATGAAGGGAAAAGCGACGCGGTGGAAGAGGCGCGACGTGCGAACCGGGGACCT